AGGCTTTGGAGCCAGCTACATGTTCTTCTTGGCATTCTTTCTTTCCTCCCTTTACCCAGTCACCCATCTCCATGTCTGCCCAGCTCAGGGACTGCGGTCTCCATCTGGAAAGCCTGTTGCCACCGGATACAGAATTCAGGTTCAGGGTGGTGGCTCTCGTGATGAGATAAACGTTGCGGAAAGCTTGTTCAGTCATATGGAAGAGCCAGTGGTGCCGCTAAATGCTGGAGCAGATGAGCTCCAGGCTCTGGCGTCTGTGCCTCTTTCATCTGTGCCTCTGAGAGAGCTGATGGCATTGCCACTTTCACCTTCAACAGTAGCCTTTATTTGAATCCCCTGGAAGAAAAGCTGTCTCTCTCCCCCTTTGCTTTTTTTAAAAATCCTTACCCAACGTTACCCAAGGACATGCTTAGAGAGAGAGAGAGAGAGAGAAGAACATCGATGTGAAAGAGAAGCATCAATCGGTTGCCCTCTGCATGTGCCACAACCAGGGATCAAACCTCAACTCAAACATGTGCTCTGACCAGGAATCGAACCAGCAACTCTTCAATGCACAGGACAATACTCAACCAACTGTGCCACTTTTTCTTTTTCTTTTTTTATGAAATTGGACACAAATAGGAAATCCCATGTGACTTTTACCTTCTGTGTAATCATAGTGAGTCTCTGGTGCTTTTCTTCTCCCTCTTGACTTTTATGTAACCACTATTCTCTTCCGCAATATCTCCAAGGCATCAAAGACTTTTGCAGAATGTGATTCTGCTCTCCTTCCTTCCTGATGACATTGGTCTTGAATGAGCAGCAGGGCAGGCAAATGCCTTGAGGAATCCTGAATATAGCCTGACTTTTGAGGAGAGACAGCTTCTCCATTCCTGCCATTTCACGAGTCATGATTTGGCCTCCGTGGCAAGTTCTGTCTTCACCTGGCCACACCACTACAGAGATCCTGCAGCCCTAGGAGCCAGCTTTTAGAACTATAGAGCTAGAACTTAAGAGCATACTTCTTCATTTTCTCCTTTCTGTGACACTCCTTCCCCCAGGAATTACTCATGTCTTTAAAATTGTTTTAAGTTTTCTTATATTTTATAAATTGGAAGCTCAGAATGTCTCTGCGGTCATGAGCACAAACATGGTTGGGGTAATTTGGGTTGCATTTGTTTATCTTTTGCACACACATACAGTTTGCCTAGCTTGGCAGCCTGCTGGCCTGGGCAATAATAATGCTTCTGTCTAGGTGAGCAAACAGCTGATGGTGCGGGGCAGGACGGGGACTCCTACAGTGACTGTCTGTCATCTGCCAGGCCAGTGGTCAGAGCAGATGAGAACAAAGGCCAGTCTGTTTACAAGCAACTTGGAAAATCAATGTGTTGGTTGTTTTCTTGTTTCTGTGCCTTTCTCCTAGCTGAAAGGGAGATTGCCAGTCCAGCAGTCTGCAGACTCATTCCAGGCAAGTACCAACTCTGGAGGCATACCTGCCTATCATATTACCCCTGGCAACTCTGAAAAGGCCCAAGTTTATCTGTCTGAACTGCTTCAAAAATCACTGACAGAGCGATTCTTTCCAAACTCACCGTCCAATCCTGGGCCCTTACTATGTCAATATCTTGAGTTGTTTATTTTCTAGATAGCTACTCCAATAAGTTGTGTGCTGATTTCTTTTTTATCACTGATAGGGGCTTGGAAAGGAGTTTATTTCCTGCTTGGCTGGGAAATGCAGGAATTGCACTTTGGGCAGCATATGTCATGGTATGAGGAAGTGTTTTCCTCTTATTCCTGAATTTATTTAATGTTATGATTTAGTTGTGAATGTTCTCGCCATGGTTGTGCATCTGAAGTATTAGGTTTAGAGAGGAGAGATCATACCGAGCAGCCCTGTCCCAGGAGGGAGAGAGTAAGCTTATTAAAGACCCTTTGAGTCTGCTGGCAAATCGCTCTAAGGGCTGCAGTGCACAGATGATGATATTGGAGATGGGAAGTCTTGTAACTTTCCTTTTAGGCTTCTAAGAAATAAATTGTGAGAGAAAAGACTTTTCTGTTCTCTGTGTGAAGTTAACCTCACAAGATTAGCAAGTGGCTTAAAACCGATTTTGATTTGAGCTTCGAAGCTTTTACAGCCAGGTCTTATCAGTCTTTGTCATCCTCGCTCAAAACCTGACAATGGTAAACTGGTCAGAGAAAAGGCTGTTTTGCTGGATACAGTTGTGGTGCTCTTATTTTAAAGTTTATCAAAAACAAAAGTCCTTTGGAGGTGGAAGAAGGCATAGAGGGGATAAATGGTGATGGAAAAAAAGCAGTAATTGAATTTTTTTTAAAGTCCTAACTTTTTAGTGATCATCGGAGACATCCTAAAGTGGAAGAGTAGATTGTAAATGAGGATAAGGTTTAAAATAATCTCGGGTAAAGGAAGTAATTGATGTTTTTTTTATTTTATTTTGTTTGTTTTTAAAGGGAAAACATGTACTGATCTTAACATTCATTACTACCAAAATCACCTCCTGACAACTAGCAGTGCCCTTTTAGGACTTACTGTTCCACTTGGTGTAATTGTTCAGCTTTGTAGGCTTTGCTTTGGAATGAGATTATAAATACCCCAAGCAGCTAGTTTACACTTCTTCATATATACCACAGATGTTAACAAAATGATCAGCACATGGTAGCCTTTAATACGTGTTGAATAAAGTTCTTGTTTTATTGCTGAAAACCTGCCATGGGCCACGAATGGTGTCAGGCACTGAGGAGCCAGGGCTCAGCTACTTAGTCACTGCCCTTACTTTCCCAGGGAGGGTACAGGCTAACGAGGAAACATCTCCATCATTTAGGGAATACACCTGGTATGTCATGACTTTTTTGTTTAAAAAGTAAAATTAACTTTTAATTGGCCATTATACTTTAGATCTCATATTCTTCAGAGTAAGCAGGAGAGGAGCTCAAGTGGCTCAACAATTGATATTACAATCATCCTATATAATAAAAGGCTAATAGGTAAATCGTCCGAATGGTGGAACAACCAGTTGCTATGATGCATACTGACCACCAGAGGACAGACGCTCAATCCAAGAGCTGCGCCACAGCGGGGGCACCACTCATCCAGAAGCCGGCTGATGGCTGGAGAGGTCAGCAGCAGTGGCAGGAGTTTCTCTTGTCTCTGCTGCGGGCCTAAGCCAGCAGTTGGACATCCCCCTAGGAGTCCCAGACTGCAAAAGGGTGCAGGCCGGGCTGAGGGGACCCCCGGTGCACAAATGTCATGCACTGGGCCTCTAGTGAAATAATAAAAGACATATTTTGTTTTACTTCTCTGCAGAGGATCTCATTAGATCTATCCCTAGCACCTATATGATGCCTTTCTTTGGCCAGATCACTTTCAACCTGAGCGCAATTTAACCATTTTCTATCTTTATGCTTTTATAGGGATTAATTCTGTAGAGAAAGAGAGAGAGAGACATTTTCTAGGCAAATCTAAGATATTCAAAAGACTGGAGAGGGCTTGATGAATCTAAATCCATAAAAATCTTCAGATCTTGTTTTTGCATAATCTTTCTGATCAGAGCATTAATAAATAGCCTACATTAAATAGTACTTCTCACTTTCCCTTTTTCTCGGCTTTTACTTTGGCAGAGAACTTGTTTAGCATGAAACTGTCCCAGTAGCAGATGGCAGGAAGTAGCAGGTGGCAGATTGAATAAACAGCCTCTGAAAAACACTGGGATACGCCTGTAGCCCCAACTCTCAATCTGGCACAAAATCCTTGCACTCCAAGTTTTTGTCTTGCCTTTTTGTTTTTAAGAAAACACTTCGATTTTTGTAGAGCCTAGAGATTGACCTGCTTCTGTCAGGTTAAAGAAAAAGTGGGGACTTTATCTGACATGATGTGATATTTGAAGATTCATCCCAGTTAAAATAGATAAACAAAAAGAGGACTGCAAAGCCCTTTATATTGTCTCTGCTCTCACTCCAAGCTTGTGGCCTGGACCCGACAAGAGCGAGAAGCACACTGACACAAAGTGTTACCAACGTGTGCAAACTCAAGGCAAGTGTAGTGTGCGCAATTCCTTTCTGTGTGGCAACCCTGTCGCTACATACACCTTAGCTTGGTTTGCCTTTGAATGCCATGGAGGGAGCAGAAGAAAGCAAGAGGAGGCAGACTGAGAGCTAGAGCAGAGCTATGAAGAAGGCAGCGGGACTGTGGGTTTAAAGACCTGGGGGACCTGAATGTTAAGTTTTGCTTAATTTTTATTATTTTTTTTTCTTTTTTGTTTTCTTAGGATTCATTGATGAGTATACCAATCTCCCCTAAGTGTCACAAGAAATATCAATATGACACAAAGCTAATTTCCCTCTAGAGTTGCCCTGCTCTTTATTTTTCTTTTTTGCTTCATCTGTTTTATTGTGAACTTCTAAGGGTCAGCTTCAGTTCCACATCTCTCTTCTAATGAGTTATGTATTCACATAACACCATGGTTAGTATTTCACCCAAGTCGTTGTACATAAGTATCATATTAAAACAAGATATTGAGTCCTAACTGGTTTGGCTCAGTGGATAGAGCATCGGCCTGCGGGCTGAAGAGTCCCAGGTTCAATTCTGGTCAAGGGCGTGTACCTCAGTTGCGGGCACATCCCCAGTGGGGTTGTGTAGGAGGCAGCTAATTGTTGTTTCTCTCTCATCAATGTTTCTAACTTCTATCCCTCTCCCTTCCTCTCTTTTAAAAAACAATAAAATATAAAAACAAAAAAACAAGATATTGATTTAGGGGTTATTAAATAAGGAATACAATTTTTTCAATATTTTTGTTATTTATCTTTTTGCCTTTTCCATTTCAGACTTTATGGTTAGTATGTTTTAGCCTCGAATTTTTGTAGACTGTCGACTTTTATGACTTTGGTTCTATTGACGGACTATACATCTGTAAATACTTAAGAGAAGCACCTGCTGATGGAAGATGTATTTTGGCATTGACATTTAAGAGTTAACGCGTGTTTTCTTTCTCTTATTCTCTGTTTAGATTCCGGCACAGCCCCAATTGCTGGTACCTGAGAGACTGGACTATCCACACCTGGATTAGGCAGTGTCTAAAATACGGTGCACAAGACAAGGCCTTATATACCCTCGTAAATAAGGTGAGGGCTCTCCTGGCGTTTGCAACTTCTTCTATGTTTAGAGGATACGGTGTTTGAACCAGCAAAAATAATACAAGAAATAACTTTTAAAAGTTATTTCCTCGCAGATGTCCTTATTATACGGGAGCTGGATATAAATCAACACATTAAAAGTAAAATTCCTGTAGCTGCTGCTTCCTCAGCACAATGACTGAGACTCAGAAATGGGCAGGTAGAAGCAAAGGCAGTCCACTCGCAGAATGCTGCACTGGTGCTCTCTTCATTCTGGTTCCCTTTGGTGAAGTTTAGGAGGAAAGTTAAGACCCTAGTATTCATACTATCTTACACATTTTAAAATATACTTTATTGATTTTTTACAGAGTGGAAGAGAGAGGAATAGAGAGTTAGAAACATCGATGAGAGAGAATCATCCATCAGCTGCCTCTTGTACACCCCCTACTGTGGATGTGCCCGCAACCAAGGTACATGCCCTTGATCGGAATCGAACCTGGGACCTTTCGGTCTGCAGACTGATGCTCTACCACTGAGCCAAACCGGTTTCGGCTATCTTACACATTTTAAAAAGACGTTTTACAAGTTTACTCAAAGCATGTCTTGTCCTAGCCCAGTGGTGGGCAAACCGCGGTTTGAGAACCACATGTGGCTCTTTGGCCCCTTGGATGTGGCTCTTCCACAAAATACCACGGCCTGGGTGAGTCTATTTTGAACAAGTGGCGTTAGAAGAAGTTTAAGTTTAAAAAAATTGGCTCCCAAAAGAAATTTCAATCGTTGTACTGTTGATATTTGGCTCTGTTGACTAATGAGTTTGTCAACCACAGGTCTAGCCAGTTTGGCTTGCTAGTTAGAGTATTGGCCCGCAGACTGAGGGGTTGCAAGTTTAATTCTGGTCAAGGGCAGTGTACTTCAGTTACAGCCTTGATCTCCTCCCCAGTCTCTCTCTGTCTCTCCCCTTCCCTTTAATGCTTTCTAAAACTCAGTGGAGGGTGGGGGATTGTGGGAAATGGGGAGATACTGGTCAAAGGTTACACATTTCCAGTTATAAGATGGTAACTTCTGAGGATCTGATGTACAACATGGTAACTATGGTTAACAATACCATCCTATCTAATAAAAGAGTAATATGCAGATTGGCCATCACTCCAACACACAATATGGCTGCCTCCATGTGGTCAAAGATCCTGCCCCCATGTGGACACAAGATGCCCAGCAGGGGAGGGAAGTTGGGCGGCACCAGGCCTACAAGGGAGGGCAGTTGGAGGCAATCAACCAGATCCAGCAGAGGAGGGAAGTTGGGGCAAACAGGCTGGCAGGGGAGCAGTTAGACATCAATCAGGCTGTCATGGGAGTGGATAGGGGGTGATCAGGCTGGCAGGCAGAAGCAGTTAGGGGCAATCAGGAAGGCAGTTGGGAGCCAGCAGTCCTGGATTGGGATCGGGCCTAAATGGGCAGTTGGACATCCCTCAAGGGTCCCAGATTGGAGAGGGTGCAGGCTGGGCTGAGGGACACCCCCTCCCGGATCCCCCCCCCCCACTCCTGTGCACGAATTTTATGCACTGAGCCTCTAGTATTATATAATATGTGGTGAAAGATGTGTTAACTAGTCTTATTGTAGTATCATTTCTCAGTATCACGTGTATTAAATCATATTGAATACCTTAAACTTAAACAATGTTATATGCCAATTATATTTCAATAAAGGTGGGCGGAAACAGTCTAAGGGCCCGAAAATGTTGCATAAGGTGATAATGTATGCTTTCTTATGGGAGTCTCTTTTTGCATGATATTCATACCTTAGAAAAAGAATCTCTGATTCAGTGGAGTATGGGGGGTGGGGGAGTTTAAGTTTTATTTGTTATTGTTTTCAGTTTTTTGTTTGTTTGTTTACCTATGATAAGGTATTAGAATCAAGTTTTATTTTTCACATATCAATTGTCTTACATCAAACACCCCCCACAACTTTTTCACCCTGAGCAGCAGTCCCAGTTACCAAAGCTCATGAGTCACAGCTTCTCTTTTCCTGTCACAGACACTGTAAAATGATAGATATTTTAAAGCTGATGTTGGCAAGTTTCATCCTGAATAATAATAGGCAAATAATATAAATCCAATTAAACTGGATGTTTTTCTCTTTTATTTTCATTTTCATTACAGGTTCAATATGGAATTTTCCCAGATAATTTTACATTCAATTTACTGATAGATCATTTCATAAAGAAAGAAAATTACCAAGGTAAGAAACCATGCCCAGGTCCATTTATAATGGGGCTTCAGCTCCCAAAGAGAAGTAGATACAGTCACTTTTTCTTTTTTTTCTTAATGATATCTCTTTTAGACAGAGATAGATTTATAGTTGATTTGAAATACCACTTGGCCAAAGAGGAAATCATGTCCAGGTTTTTTTCCCTTTGAGTTTCTCAAGTTTTTCTTGTTTATGTCTCTTTAGGCAAAGGACAGTGAGTTTAATTAAACAAAAAAAACCCTGCCTGAGTTTCCGTGGCTAGTCAAGGTTATAATGATCCTGTTATTAGCTTGCCTCTTTTGGGGGGACATCATTTGCTAACTTTGTTTTATTTAAAAGTACAGTTGTATTATGTAAAATATAAAACGAGTTGACTCGGCCTGGGAAGAGCAGTACAGTCATTATGAAGGAAAACCATTTTCCCTGGGACTTCATTATTGCACTAGTGGCCTGGTGCATGAATTCATGCACATTGAAAGGAAATTAATGAGAAGAAATATTTTAATATCGCTCTTCACCCTTTCTCTGTAATAGAAGTGTCAAGAAATTCATGATCGAGAATGACATATCAAAACACATGCCTATGATTGGTGCCAGCAAGAGTTTTACATGTATTGCACATGCTTGCGTCAGCTTAGCCTTTTATAGATATAGAATAAGCTTGCTTAATTAGACCTGCTTTCTGATTTAGCTAAACTTTTCCCAGGCCAGTGAAGTACCTCAACTTCTCTTTCAGGTAATTGTTAACAGCACAGCAGTAAAATCAACACAAAGCAGATTATTATTATAAATCTTGCAGGGAGAACAAAGTGTAAAATATTTAACTGCAACAGTGTTTGACTATATTCTGTGCAGTAGGAAAACCTGAAGTCATTTTCAAGGTCCACCATTTCTTCTTTTCAGTTAGGTCAAGCTTCTAAGCTTTCTAAATCTCCATTTTCTGGCTAATTAAAAGAAACTAGGATTCTACCAAGTCTCCTATCTACCCACTCCAGGACTTCTGTGAAGATCAAATGAGATGAGGCATGGGAAAACACTTCACAGACTTTTGGTTAAAGTGTAAAATGTTTCCACCTGGCTATAAAGCAAGCCATGTTCTTGGGCTGAAGAAACTCCAAGGATGCTAGTCGCTAGGGAGAGGAAGCTGGACATTGCTACATGACATCATTACCCGGCGCCCACAACCACCATTTCCAGGCTGGGCTAGGCTGTCGGCCACATTTTGTGCCATGGGATCTCTGCAGGGTCAGCTGCGATTTGGTGAGGTGTTGCTCTGGGGTGGTGGTGGTGCCTGTGTCCCATTTGGAGGAAGCCGAGTGTTGCTTTGTGGGGCCAGGTCTATGGTGCCATTTCTCTGTAAATGGCCAGTGCACATCACAGCAGATCCTGCATTGAGTATCTGCTCTCTGGTGGCCATTGCACGTCATAGCAACCAGTTAGACAGTCAGACACTTAGCATATTAGCAGTTTATATATATAGATTTGTAAATAAGTGGAACGGTGATCTCTGAGCTCTCTTTACCCCAAATTCTCTGAGCCGGTGAATTAGTTTAAAGTAGCTCTTTTACCTCAGCCGCAGTAGGGGAGCCAAGGAAAGATGGTGATTGCAGCAGCCTACAGAGTGGTCAGGTGGGACCCTGACAGTGTCCAATGGAGTACTTTTTCTAAATGCAGAGTAAATAATATTGAAAATGTTTAAAATAGATTCTTGATTAAGATTATTATCATTTATGGCAAAACTTAGGAAAAAATATATATTTTTGTTGCTAGGATAAGAAATATCAACATAAGAAATTATGGAAGAAAATTAAAATGAATTATACAGCCAATATAATTTTCTCAAGCTGATGGAAATAATATAATATAAATAATGAAAGATAAAGTAAATTTGATTTCTTTTTCATGTGTAATTTTAGATTCAGTGAACAGATACTGGCAAAACTACATTTTTAAAAAAACTGGATTTTTAGCTTTAATTTTGCTTTTAAAATTTGTTTTATTTCCAGTTGTTTTCCTCCCCTCCCCCCCCCCCCTTTTTTTTAAAATCTCCTTCAGGTCATTATTTTGCTACTGACTAGATGACTTCCTAGTTTGCTTGTTTATCTCAATTTCCCCATTTGTAAAAAGAATATAGAAATTCTTGCCTGTTGCTTATTTCCAAACCAAGACAACATGTTCAAAGCCAGCTGGCTAGAAACAGCTGCAAATCAGTGCTAACTCCTGTAATTATGAGTGTATGCAAAAATTGGTTAACATAACAACTAAGTTAGTCAGAAATATTTGTGTCTGTTAAATGCAAGTTCCACATTTTAAATCAATATTAAAATTATCTAATTTAACAACAGATATTAAGAAGAGGAAATTGTTTGAGCTTGATTTTCTTGGCTCTATGTTGTGGAATATTGAGGGGAAATAAAAATTGCTCAGTTTCCAATCTCCTATGACCAGTGTTCATGTGGAAACAAAAATGTTGTGTATTACACTCAGGTGCTTATAACTTATGAATGAGCATTTTCCTTTCCCTTGTTCAAGTCTTTTAAACTGAGTTCGATAGTCCTCTTATATTAATCAGTTTTTTGTCTTTGAAATAATACCTGGGATTGAGGATTGCCTCTAGCATTTGTCTTCTTTTGCCCTAACAAGGTGCCAGAACACAGAATGGAGCAGTCAGCCCTGCCTCATTCTGCTTGTCAGGGTGATCTGGAAAATATATTTGCCTCCTTTCTGTATGCCTGAGCTCTTCCAGCTGTTAGACATGCTGCCTTAAATTTGCTTCTCAGTTTGTGAGGCATTTTCATATACATTATTTTGTTGGACTGCCCAACAATCTTTTGAAGTAGATGGAACAAATGATATTTTATCATTAGGAAGTTGATGCTGGGAGAAATTAAGTGGTTTATTCAATGTCCTTGAGGAGAGTGGTACAGTAGCACCTGGTTTAGTGCATACAAGTATGTATAATAGAAGCTAAAGGTTTGGGAAGAACTAGGAACAGAGCCCACATTGTTTACTTCTTAATTCTGTTTATTTTTCTATCGTGCCCCACTTTTTATAAGAGTATTTATAGTTAAATAAAGATTTGGTGATATTACCTGCAGCTAATTTGCTCTCGTTTTCCCTTTGATCTTTTTGCCAGATGCTTTATCCGTGGTTTTTGAGGTCATGATGCAAGAAGCCTTTGAAGTACCTTCCACCCAGCTCCTCTCTCTCTATGTTTTATACCACTGCCTGGCAAAGAAGACAGATTTCACTGTAAGTGATCACCTTCAAGCAGTCCCAAGAACCTTAGAAAAAGCAGGTAGTGCCTACCGGGCAGGGCTGAGGAGGCCAGACGAAACCCTGGCTCTTTCGGGTCTGAAAAGAGCTGTCTGCTGGGGAATGAGTGTTTGCTCTCCGTTGTAGTTACTGCTTTCTAATAAAGTGAACTGGATGTGCTCCACTCACGAGAACCACAAGTGAAAGTGATTAGGCTCATTTTGAAACTTGATCTAGTTCAGTGCTCCTCAAAAATGGGTAACAGATAGTCAGTGAGAGCTGGACCTCACATATCAAAGGAGAAATAAGGTTGCTGATTTTGACCACAATCTTAGGTATTAAATACCAATTATTTAATTTCTATCCGTACTTAGGAAAGTACAGATACAGTGGGTCAGTCAGAATGTAAGGTTTTGGTTTTGTCCATTAGGTTAGGTATTTAGTCATTATTTATTGCTGTCCTAAGAATAACAACAATGATAACACAATAACTAATATTTAAATAGCACTTTATGCCAGGAAATTTATTAATGCAGTCAGTCCTCACAACTTCAAACAGATGAGAAGGCTGGGGCACAGGGGTATCAGTTAATAGCACGAAGCTGCCTTATGAAACCAGGATCCTCTTAGCCGCCCTTAACCTCAAATGTAACTTTAAAAAATTCTGATTTGGGCCCTAGCCAGTTCGGCTCAGTGAATAGAGCGTTGACCTGCAGACTGAAGGGTCCCCAGGGTTTGATTCCAGTCAAGGACACATGTCCAGGTTGTAGGTTCGATCCCCATTAGGGGGCGTGCAGGAGGCAGCTGATTAATGATTCTCTCTAATCATAGATGTTTGTCTCTCCTTCTCCCTTCCTCTCTGAAATCAATAAAAAAAAAAATTTTTTTTTTTAAATTCTTATTTGGGTAAGATCTGAAAATACCATCTAGTCCAGCCCACATTCTAAAGAATTATGGTATGTTTGCTTTTCTAAGATGAGTGTTAATAGCCTATTCCCTATGGCAAACAACACATTCATTATCTCATTAAATATATATTAAGCACCTATGACATTTCATACCTGTGCACAAAGGTAAGAAAATATTTTCTGCCTATAATCTAAGAAGATTACAGGCATTTAAAAATGAAACAAACACACAAATATAAAACTATGACTATAATGAGTGCTACAAAGATGTGGTCTATGAAAAGGCTATAGGAATTTTTGTATTTTAAACTAAGATAGGTTATTATGGAAATATTATAGTTCTTGGGTTAATATTTGAAGGATGACTAGGAGTTAACTGATTGCAAATGGGAAGAAAATCCAAAACATGTGCAAAAGCAAAAAGAATATGGTGAGCAGAAAGGGGCTGGAGGAAAATAGGAAGATAATGAGTGGAGCTGCACCAGAGAGAATGGAAGGAAGCAGTAGAGTGAGGCAAGGTAGGAAAATGTAGATCATGCTAAGCTATTTGTCTTCATCCTAAAATAATGAGAAACCATTGAAAAGTGTTTAGCAGAGGTGGGACATGATCAGATTTGTATTGAAAAGATGCCTCTGGCTGTAGTACAAGATCAGAGTGGGGCCCAGATGGCTGTGGTCAGAGCACTTAGGAGATGATGATGGTTGTCTGAGCAAGAGATAATGGTAGTTTGGGGACTAGGATGTGGTGGTGTTAGAGCATAGCCAATGGACATATTTGGGAGGCAGATAACATGATGATGAACTAGATGTGGAGGCAGGAAAATAGGGGTCAAATCTTATCTCCTCAGTTTCTGGCTTGTGTATCTGGGCCCATGTGTTTGCAAAGGGAACTCTGGAAAAAGACTGGATTTTATGAGGAAAATCATTAATTTAGCTCTGAAATATGGCTCTGAAGATTTTGCATTTTGAGACGGTCGAGATTGCACAAGGGAAATTAGGAGCTAAATAGAAAAATATGGATATAAAATGTATACATGGATGTGTAAATGAGCCACAGAGCAAAAAAGAAATAGAAATGTGCAGACCACAAAGCCCACAGGAAGAGAGTGGTCTGCAGTATAACATGCTTCTGAGTAAGATGAGGACCTTTGTTAAGTTCACTAAATGTAGTGGCATGAAGGCACAAAATAGTAACCTTTGTTTCCATAGAATAATGGAGCAGGAAACCAAATTGGAGTGGATTATGGAGTGAGTGAGAGGTGCAGAAGGGAGATGCCAAGTGTAGGCAGGCGTCCTGAGATGTCTAACTGAAGTCGAGTGGAGCAGGGGAAGAGGGAGAATGAGGGTTTGCTTTGTATTAATGGTTGAGGCAGAAATAGAAAATGGAAAAACCTAGAGGACATTGGTGAAATAGCACCTGACAGTACGTACTGCAGAAGCTAATGCCTTGGAAGAGACCTAATATTTCAGACCATTTTTTTAAAACACCGCTAAGATACTCATTTTGTTTTTGTTTGTTTTCACCTTTTAAAAATCCTTTGGGAGTATGCCGTTCCTGTCGCTATCACCACATTGCTTTGCTCCAAGCACAGCAAGGATACTGCTCACCTGGCTTTTTGCCCTATTGCATTCTGATACTTAGACCATAGTTTCCTTAAAGAAAAAAAAAAAAAAAATGTTTTTAAGGCTCCTTATTTATTATTCACTGGGCCCTCTTCTTGCAGCTTATGTGGGGGAAATCAAACCTATAGTGAGTGATTTGCTTTTGAAAGTGAAAGGACCTGGTCCTTAATCACCAGCAATTTCACTTCTCTGTGCTCAAAAGTGCCTGGGGAGGCTTTGTTTCTCGCTCAAGGCCTTTGCTTTTTTCAGACCTGAAGAAATTATACTTTTGTCGCACAAAGCCCATCCCTAGGAAAAAGCTTAGGGTGCCCATTAACACCTGGGGTGCCTCACTCACACCGAGTTGCAGTGCAGGGCAGACCGCATTCATTCTCTGCTTCCTCCCTGACCTCTGTGTGCAGGCACCAGTGCCAGGCAGCCTGAGCTTTGTGTTCTGTATTTCCAAGAGCCGGGCCCAGGCCAGTGTGTACTCGCGTGGCACTAAGTGGCCCCAGCTCTCATGCCTGGGGCATTGCCAAGGCTCTCCCCCGGGCCCGCTTCTCCAGGGAATCCCTGTCACTGCTGTTGCTGTTCTGCAGCAAGCTTAGCAATGCTTGCTAAGCTTGCCCCATTTTCTCATGTCTCAAAAGGCTCCAATTTTATTTGGAGTGTAATATTGCACCCTGGGCTGAAAGAAATGATCACTAAGTGTTTCTGATTGCCTAATTTATTTTTTATAGGCACAGATCTACCTAAAAGCAGCCTAATAGTTGTATTTATTTTAACACTGTCAAGTGGGAGTTCTGTCATTGCAGAATTGTATAAAATTCAAAAGCTTGCTTAACCATGTCATAGCCATGGGAGTGAGACATGAGGCTGACAGCATGTAAGTTTGTATTGATTGCCCCAGGCAGTGTTGATTCAGAGTGTGCTCTTTATTTTCATTTTGTTTTGCATTTCTGATTGTAAAAGGAGCTCTTATTCAGTGCCAAAATTTTAGAAAATAAAGTACAAAGAAGAAAACCAGTTACTCATAATTTCACTACCCAGAAATCTGTTAACATTCTGTTTTTCATTAAACAAATACCTTTTATTTACAAAATTGTGATGATAATGTAGCTATAGCTTTATTTTTTTATATATTTTATTGATTTTTTTACAGAGAGGAAGAGAGAGAAATAGAGAGCTAGAAACATCGATGAGAGAGAAAAATCGATCAGCTGCCTCCTGCATACCCCCCACTGGGGATGTGCCCGCAACCAAGGTACATGCCCTTGACTGGAATCGAACCCGGGACCTTTCAGTCTGCAGGCTGACGCTCTATCCACTGAGCTAAACTGGTTTCGGCTAGCTATAGCTTTATTATTTTGCTTTTTTACTTAATGCTGTAACTTGTTCTTTTTCCTCCATGTTATTAAAAATCACATTTTTGCATAAAGTCTTCATTGCTTGGCTGGACAGTGACCTGGTATGTTGTGTTGCAGTGGGAAGAGGAGAGGAACTTCGGTGCATCCCTGTTACTCCCAGGCTTGAAGCAGAAGAACTCAGTGGGTTTGAGTTCCCAGCTGTATGGCTATGCACTTCTGGGTAAGCTGAGTGATCCTGACAGGTATCGTGTTTTATCAGAATAACTAATGCACGCTTCTCCTTCACAATAAAATTATAGTTTGATTTAGATTTGCTAGTGCAATTCCTATACAACTTTCACTTTTAGGCACAAAGAAATAACCTTTAATGGCCTTACTGCCACCAACTTGCAAGCTGAGAACCAGTGCTGGTGGCCCCAGATTGTGTTTAGTGGTAATCAGTGTGAGGAAGGGCTAGAGAGTGAAAGGAAGGGTCTGGCCCTCTTTCGGGAGAACCAGCCAGTAGAATTTCCCCTGAGATTAACAGCAACTTCCTTTCTCTTTAGATCTGAAGTCCAGGGAGTAAGAAATTGAGAGTTAGACCAACTGATTCATTTGCCCCTCAGCATAACCATTATGGCTGGTCTCATTCTCGGTTCTTATAATTGTATTTCTTATAGCACATGATGTCACACATCTAGAGGAAATAATGAGCAACATAACTGATGAACAAAAACAGACCCGGAGACAGGGAAAGCATCAATCAGACTCTCAAACCTCAGAGGGAAGGTAGGGAGGGTGGGAGAAAAGGGGAGAGATCAACCAAAGGACTTATATGCATGCAGATAAGCCTAACCAGTGGTCACGTACAACAGGGGTGCTGGGGCATACGTGGGGAGGGATTTGGGGTAAGAATAGGGGGGTGAGGACAATTACGTGATACCATAATAAATAAATAAAATAAAAATAATAAGTAAGTAAAAAAAAAAAAAAAAGAAAAGAAAGAAAGAAATTGAGAGTTAGGGTTGAAGTCCTCTCCTTCGTATTGTTTTCAGTGAGGGGAGAGAAACTCGGCGCCACTGGTACTAGTAGCGCTCCAGGAAAGCAGTGAGTGCCTCGTGGGTTCGGCGCGGCTGTGCCGTGCAGGGGAAGGGCCCTGGCTGCCCTGGAATCAGCCAGGTCAGAAGGCGAAGCCTGTGCAGTGTGGCCTCAGAACCTGGGCTCTGTGCAAGCAGGGCAAGTAACACTCAGCCTTACACGTGTCCTGTTTGCAGAGGTTCACTGTGTGCACATTATGTCATTATTCTTCCAGTCTTCGTCTTACTTGATAGGGATTTGAGGAAGCCCCTTCTCTTGATTATGCATTGTTTCTGCTGACCTTTGTTTTTTTTTTAAATCATCACATTGGCTATTTCACTACTAGGATGTAAAAGTTAACTTTGAGCTGCTTACTTTGTTATAGCAGCTGGCTGCCTTGGAAGTTTATCTTCAATAGAATGTAATGTGGCATCCTTGGAGATTGATCCTGATATAAAGTGACTCAGGGAGGAATTTCAGTTTACCAGACGGTCTGTCAGATTCCCCAAAGCGTTGGACACTTTAAAAAAATCATATTCTCCTTATTTGCCATCTCTTTTCAATGTTGATTTACACTTTTTAAATTTTTGTTTGTTTGTTTCAAGTCTCTTGTACTATAGGAATTATTCAGGAAGTTGTCAGCGCTAAGAAAATGTACTTTGTTGTACTGGCAGCCGTCCCATTAGAAGCTATTTGCTCTTGTGTGTCCCGTGCTGAGCAGCCCCATTCACCTCGATGGCAGCAGCTTCCCAGAATGTGGCCACAGTCTGGCCCCAAGCATCTTAAAGCTCTACAATTAGCTGTCACCTGATAAGCTTTGTCTATTTATGTCCTGCTAGAGCTTTTCCAAATCCTCCTTCCCAGGAAAGATAAGTGAAGGTGGATTTGAGACCTGACAGCTCAAGGTGACTTTGGTCATTAGAGGACTCTGGGCCCCAGTAGTACAGACAGGCCCCCACCAGGGGACCCTGCTGTCTGGCACCCTGAGTTCCAGGGGTGATGATGGTTTGAGGTACCAAGAGAAACACTCATGTCCTGAGAGCCAAAGGATGATGAGGACTGTGTGCATTGACAAAGCTCAAATAAAGGGGAAAAGAGCAAAATGGGGCTCTCTTTTCTTTCATGAGGACAATCAATGGGATGTTTGGGAGCATTTCAAAAACTCCTACATTTCCTGGCCAGGCAAGTTGTCCAATGATGACAAGATTTTCAGGGTAGGGAAGTTGTAGAATTTTTTTTTTAGGATGATTTTGTTCTTAAAACAAAAGTAGTGTTTCAGTTGTTTGACACATTTTGTAAGGGCAGCTCCACTTAGAGGGAGATACATCAGTCTCTCTAAATGCTGCAGACATCCTCATGATAGTCCCCTCCAGTCTAGATGAAAAAGAGGAGAAACAAGTTCATAAAATTGTGTATTGAAAAACATATACAGTGAGTGTTACCACATTCTGCACCAGCCATCTGAAATGTCACCAGGTTGCTGGGTGGGGTGGGGCCCTTGGCACAGATGTGAAATGATCCTTCTCTGTTTCTAGAGCTGCCGGGTGGGTGTGCGTGGGTGCCTGTCTCAGGCCTAGTGGGAAGGCATGGCTGAGATTTCTCCTTGTTCCTTTGGCCACAGGGAAGGTGGAGTTGCAGCGAGGGCTGCGGGCTGTGTACCACGACATGCCTCTGCTGTGGCAACCAGGCTACCTTGACAGAGCCCTTCAGGTGATGGAGAAGGTGGCCTCCTCCCCAGAAGAGGGAAAGCTGTGCAAAGAAGCGGTATGTTTCTCGGCCCTAATTCAATGGGAGTTAGCCATCTTTACGTTGTGTTTTGTTTGTGTTTTTATTGTCTCTCCTGCCCCCTACTTCTTTTTTATTTCTGTAGAATCATGTACTTATTTAGCTGAAAAGGAATGAAAAACCACAAACATTCTCAATGTTACTGACAAAATGTACTAGAAAATAAGGTTATTGTTGACTTTACAGCCCACTGTCTAGGAGGGAAACTCTTCCCCTCCCCCGAGTTCAATAAAATCTCTGTGGCAGCTCAGGAGAGGTTAAGATTTCACTTTAAAATGTTGGCCTTTCTGTACCCTAGAGCCCTGGGAGATTAACTTTTCCTGAGCCCACAGTAATGAAGCTGGGACTAGCGATGGCACAGACCTTCTTCCCCTTCCATTTATGAGTTCCATGGCGAATGCACAGTGCCGAGACCTGGATCAGATGTCCCTTCAGAGGTCAAAGAGTTCATGCTGCCTGGACAAGGAGGCTGTCCTTCAGTCCCAAGCTCATCTCTCTTAGTCACCTAGGACTCTGGACACCACTTACTAGACTTAGCTCAGGCTAAAGGAGATGAGGCATCTTAGGGCCACATGACACTGTATTCTACAGTGGAAGCCACAGTATCCACTCCTATCCCAGCAGCTTTTGTGTCAGAGTGAGGCCTAGAAGCACATTGCTTACTCCATTGCTAGGGGATAAAAGTTAACTCTGAGCTGCCTATTTGTTTTACCTTGACCCTGATCACTAGGACTCACCTCTTGGCCTTCATTTCAGTCGGGAGATGTGTAAGTCTGATTTCTATGGTGGCTCTGCATGCTGATGGCTAGTGAGCCATTATGTTCTTTGCCAGGTTTATAATAGCATACACACTTCTAAATATATATTCCTACTTAGCCCTGCCATAGTCAGTGCTAGTGATTGAAAACAAAATTGTACATCAATTCTTTGCCGGGGAAATAGTCTTTCCACTCTGAGCCAGATTTGCATCTTTGTGTTCTGATTTAATAAGAATGTGATTCAGAGGTCAGCAAGAGTGGGGCATGTGTCAGGTTTGAGTGCAATGTATTAGTGCCGTTAAAAAGCCTTGGAGTATTTCTGGATTTTTATTCTAACGTGGCATGGACAGAATTAATCTGTGTTGAAACAGGTGCTAATGCTGGCTCTGAGGTTGTTGCTGTGCCATCTCTGATGGTTAGTCTCTCTGGGTCAAGGCGGTGTACTCCAAAGTGAAAGTGGTGAGGGACAGGGGCCAAAACAAACCCTTTCTTTCTAAGTACAGAAATCACCTCGTGAAAGTACATTTCATGTGTGCCTCTGGTCTCTGCCAGCAGCAATGTGGGTTGCGCTGATTCCTAATTTACAGATATTCTGACAGCGAGCATCTGAAGGAGGCCCTCGCCCAGGCTCAGCTTCACCGTGCATTCGCGGTGGCCTTTGTTGATTGTGGTTTTTCTTTGCCTTTCTCCCAATTCCAAACTGACTAAGGAAGAAAGACCTGAAGGTGGGGAGAGGCATTCTTTTGTGCCCATTGAGCATAATTCTTGGGTTCCTACCTGGTTGATTTAATGTAAAACCAAATGCCATTGTGCTGATTCATACACAAATAATTCTGAGCTTGCTTATTTATGCCATTTGTTTTGTACGAAGTTTTCTGTGCCATCGACTGGATGTTTCTAATGAAACCGCTAGAAACCATTCTGTTTCCTATAATTTGATAAGAGACTTTTTAGATCCCAGATTTCCTTCTTTTCCCTTCTCCAGCCTGCCCTCTCAATGTGTCCTCAATGTGCCCCTGCCCCTTTCTGCCCCACAGCTCGACGTGCTGGACAGAGCGCTGCAGGCTCTGACGGCTCCAGCCCCGGAGTCCTCAGAGGAACAGCCTCAGGGAGGGGAAGACAGCAAGGGCCCCGAAGAGCTGGTGGAGCAGTTGGACGTGGAGGAACCCGAACAGTCCAAGCTTCCCCGCTACCTGGAGCGATTTAAGGTTAGTCACAGCACTTAGCTGTACATTAAGCATGCTCTCTGTCTCAGTGATAGACAGGCAGCTCTTTCATGCATTAATGTCACACACAAAGGCATTAAAAGCTGACATCAAAAATTGCATTTTTATTGCTTCACACAGGAAGTGGTCTTAAAAGGAACAAATGTAAATTTCTAGGCTCCTTTTTGTACTTGAGCTAATGGGTCGCCGTTTTGTTCTCTAAGGCAGCCTGTCATTACCCCTCATCGCTGACATGTGCCTGGTGGGTTGGTAATAGCTTGCCTCCTCCTAGCCATCACCTGACTCCAACCCCGAGAGGAAAGGATCTGGTCCTTTCTCCGTGTTGTGCTAAGTGTGCTTGATAACCCAGAAATGCAGGCAGGAACTACCAGGCCACACTTGAACAGGTTGAAGGTTAGATGCAGGTATCTTCCTTTGCTCCTCTTGGCGGCTCTGTGTTGTGGATGAGGGCCATTAGAAATGCCCTCTTGGACCACGTGGAAGATGGAAACAAGGCCACTCTTTCTTTCAGCAACGCTGAGCACTGAAGCTGCCTTCGGTAGCTCTCAGCTGACATCCCCAAAGCCTCTGTGGTCGTCAGCAAAGAAGAGCCATGTTCAGAGTTTAAACCCTCGGCCTCTTTGCTTTTTCTTGTCTGTTTTGTGCAAAGAGAACAAAAGTGCTCCCCGAAGGAGAATTCTTTGTACGAAGGAGGAACCATTCCCATCCATGCTAGCTGACCCAGTATGTCACTTTGGGACGAGAGATGTACACTTTGCCAGATTATTACCTTTACATCTTTCCGTAATTATGATGAACCAGCTGTAAGATACCTGTTTCTATTGTACTTTTAGCATTTGTTTCTACCAGTATTCTGTAAAGTCATTGCTCAACTTCCCCTTTTATAATTTGAAAACTGAGAAAGAAAAGTTAATCAGTGTTCACAGAGAATTAACGGTAGAACTGGCTTAATTCTTTCCCAATTAACTTCGCCTAATTTTGCAGATTTAGAAAGGCTAAAAAAACAAAGTAAAATCTTCTGAGCCCCATAGATTATTATTTGCCATATTCATATTGACCAAAGCTATCACACCATTCCTGAAAATTACCACCTCTTTCTATTGTTTCTTATATATTTAACCTCAAAAAATAGAAATCAGTGCCTAAATTAAATTCTTAGTCTTCACACTTCCAAAAATATATATGTTTTGTTTGTTTTTTTTGAAAATCAGAAAAAGACAAGAGACAAATACTAGCTATACTGGTTAATAATGTGGATTTTGTAATCAAAGAAAATATAATTTCGCCGAAACCAGTTTGGCTCAGTGGTAGAGCGTCGGTCTGTGGACTGAAAGGTCCCAGGTTCGATTCTGGTCAGGGGCATGTACGTTGGTTGCAGGCACATCCCCGGTAGGGGGTGTGCAAGAGGCAGCTGGTCGGTGTTTCTCTCTCATCGACTTTGGATTTGAACAAAAGTTTTCTGACTCAGAGTTGAGTCCTTATTCTGCTGTCCCAGACCCCATGAATAATGATTTTCATTTTATATTTCTTTATCTTTCTGTTGCCTCATGTTTATTAGTGTCGGGTAATTTGTTTGGGGCCAAATTTTATATGACTGACCCATCGCACTGCTCCTGTGGCCACTACCCGAAGCCTGTAGACCTGCTCCCTTCCCACTCCCCCGTGGAGCAGACCTCGCCTGCGCCCGTGAACTGCAGTTGTTTGGAACACAGAGATGTGTGGTATAAGCCATTGTTGGGCCATAAGTGGCTCTCTCTCCAGTGATCTACATCTTGTAGCACTTAAGTAGATTAGTGTTTTTCGTACTTGGCTTCTCTGGGAATACAATGCGAACAGACCAGCTGCCGTTTCCGATGGAGCGGAGCAGGCAGCGCTGCAGGCTGACCTACGAGCGCGGCAGGTGGAGCCTGTGGAGCGCAGCCACCGCGGAAGCGGGTAGCGCCTTTAGAGGGAAGCCCTGGAACGGCTTCCATCTGTTAAAAGGACTGCGCATCAGGCCAACATTTATCTCGGTGATTCTGAAGGAAAAGATGTGGAGGGGCTTCCTCCAGCTTATCGGCTGTTTCTGCCATATTGTTTGCATCTTAGAGTTCTTTGTTCTTGGGGTTGGCTGGTTGGTTCAGTGCAGGTCGGGGTAGAAATGTTGATTTGTTATGCCTGTGCTGTCACTGTGGTTTAAAACAAGAAAGTAGAGGGAATCACAGCATATTGAGGTTCATTTACTGTGTGTAAGTGAAGGGGAAGGAATGCCATGCAGTACATCTTAGCCACATGGCTGTGCTGGGGGGAAACAGAGCAAACGCTATCAGTGCCCGGATGGAAGGCCTCTGACAGGTTCCCGACACCATGCATTTTCCCTCAAGCAGGATGTGTGGAGATTTTGCAAGGGCCTTTACTCTCCTCCTCCTTGTATCCTTCTTCTATCTGCCTCTACCCTCCCACATGCACACCTTCTCCTTGTTTTTCCTTTCTTTCTAACAGGCCTTACATTCCCAGCTCCAGGCTCTGGGCAAAGTTGAGTCAGAGAGCCTTTTGATGCTGACCACCCAGCTCATCAAAGCCCAGCTGCCCGCCTGTGAAGCAGAGGACATCGCCACCTACGAGCAGAAGCTGCAGCAATGGCATCGGGATTTGCTTTACTTGATTCAGAGGGAACAGGAGTTCAGGGAGAAGGCGAAGCGGGAGCACCTGGCTCAGCAAGCAGCAAAGGCAGCTGCCTAACAGGGCCCACAGCTCAGCCCCACTCCAGGGACTTCATCAATCCCGTCAGGGATCATTGTGACCGCAATGGCAGCCTCAGCCTCCTCCACCCACCTTCTTCTCTAAGCCGTCCACTTGTCTAGGAATGCCGAGATGTTCTACAGACAGAGGCCCTGTATCTGCCCGTCCAGGCGGCCCACTAGTTCCAGGGGCTGTGGAACTAAGAAAGTGGTCAGACTGCAGCCTCCAGCTACCTTGGAGTTCCTGTCAGGGCGCCAGGGTTCAGGTATCAAGTCTCAAGCTCAGGCTTTCGAATGGTCTCTCTTCCTCCCACCTGAAGCAAACTGTACGACCTAGGACTTGGGTCCCTTCTCCTCTCTGGGACCATTTCCACATTCCCTTTCCCTGTGTCTCACCCAGACCTGCACTGGGAGAAGGTCAGTCAGTGGCTTTCACATTTCAGGAACCTCTGTGGCATTTTAGAATGAAAGGACTGAGGGAAAAGCTAGTCTTGTTGGCTGAGAGCTTCTCTATCATGTTGGGGTATCTTTTTCCAATCCATCGTCTCAGCTTCATAAAGTAGGACAGATGAGCCTTTTGTGCACACACAAATATTCCCACACACACACACATGCACACCCACAGCTGTGAACACACATTTAAGTCAGAGAAGTTGCAGAAAATCTGGGACACCATGGGCTTCCAGTGCATGGAAAATGGGTAATCATCAAACCCTCAGGAGGCCAAAATTCCTTAAGTTTCTCCATGAAAGGGGTTGGGGCAGCTCTTGTTTGCTGTGTAATTTTAATTTTGCCTTTTAAGTGCCGTGGTGTATTTCTATTCTGGATTGCGGTCTTTTATCAAGAACCTGTGGAAATAAATGTTCTTGGATTCTTTTGTTGGATTCTGGGGTTTTTTTCTTACCACCTCTCTCCTCCCCCCTCCCCACTTTAATGTGTTCTTTATCTTTTGAGGAAGGGAGAGAGACATAGGGAATCTCATCATCATAGTTCCTATGATATTCAGCAACATATTTTCAACCCTTCTCCATTAGACTGACATTTATGGAAGTCTCGCTGTGTGCCAACAGCCCCAGCAACCCCATGAGAGAGGTACCAGGAACCCATTTTAAATGAGGAACATGAAACTGAAGACCTCACCCTGCACATTCCCTCCGTATACACCTGCAGTTAGTATCTGACACGGGCCCCTGTCACCCCTGTCACCTTTAAGTCCTCACAGTAGTACCTACTGCTAGGTATAGAGTAAAGGTACAAGAATGTGAATGAGTAAGAGGAATTTCTCCTTTTTTTTTTCGGGTACTTTATGCATAATCACTTTTCTGAAACAGCTTTTAGTTCCTCGGTGCCGGTCACATCAACAGGGTATTACGCTACTTAGAGCTTACCCTGTAACTGCGCAAGAAACTGAGGTGTTGGACGTCATTACTGAGTAAGACGGCCTCGTAGAGCTCAGAAAAGCAGCCTCGGGAGGGCCATCCAGAGTGACCATCTTGTCAGAGCCGTCCCGTCACAGGTGAGAAAAGACACTCCAGACAGAGGTAAAGGGAGAGGTCACGCAGCAGGCGTGGCAGAGCTGGGGCTAACACCTGGCTTGGGGTTTATATTGTGGTTCATGTGGGAAACCCAATAACCCTCTCTAACTACACTGGTGCATTTTCTTTTCCTTTCCAAGCAATGTTAGTTGTCTCTTTCCCTCACTTTTCAGTTTCTGTCCTAAGTCCTCTAATGTCCTGTAGGGCTTGGTTATACAAGATAACAAGGTAGCAGTTACAGAAATGGTATCAGGATCCTCTCTGAGATTTGCTCCCCCCAACCCTAGATAGCAAATTCCAATTCCCGGTGAGCCAACTTAGCAACACAAAACCTAAGACAGCACACAGCTGAACTTTTGCCACTTTTGTATTTTATTGTGGAACTGCATTTTGTTTTTTAATCTTTTACATCAAATATCCTCAATGGAAGAGGGGATATTGCACACAAATATCATAAAAGCACTACATATTACTTCCACTGGAAACTAATTTTCTACATTAGATATGACTGGATAGGATAGAAGTGATGCAGGATTATAAGACATAATACCATACACAGCTGCAGACTGACACAAACACCATTCAGAATAAGAGAGAGGAGGGGGGGTGCTCTCCACCAGCCGCAAGATCACCTTGTTCCGGGACCGGAAGGAGGAGGGCTGCCTTCTGCGCACAGGAGCCCCCCCGACCTGGCCTTGGCTAGGGTGTTCCCGAAAGGGCAGATGGTCTGGATGCCCCATATCGATGGTCTGGCTCTGGGAGCTCCGAACAAGTGCAGAGGAGCTATTTTCCCCCTTCCTTTGCAGTTTTTGATGCTGCCTTTTAAACCAAGAAAGTCACAGATTTTTTTAAATAGTAAATCATTTTAATACCAGGTGAAGAACCTAATCGCTTTCAAAGAAATGCTCATCCTTAGGCTGCTTTTGGTGTGTTGTTCAGTTAGTTAGAAGCTAAACGCTTACAGTTCCTTTCAAATGGAAGCAGGATCTTTTCTTCTACATCTGAAGCGCAAAGAAAATAAGGTTATTAAATCTAACTCACAATGTCATCACTGAGCGACAACCTCTTGTGACAGACAGGGGACTAAGAGAAGCAAGAAAAGCAGTTCAGAATCATAGAACAGCTCCCAAGAGCTGAAGTTTGGTAACACAGGAACAATGGAAGGTGGTAAAATTCCCAATTAGCAAATGATTTAATCTTATTAAATGACTATTGAAAAGCTTCTAAACTGCATAAGCTATTGGAGACACTTAAAACATTCATATACACTGGGGAAACCATTCACTATGATATGTAAGGTTAAGAAAAAAATTTTTTTTAACTCCATGGAAAATGGTGTTTGGGGAGGGAGGGTCAGTCATTGTATCCAGTCCCACAAGGCTGAGAAAGCATGCACGAGGGTTGGGTCTTGAGAAAGGGGATATAAGTAGTTAAAATTGAAAATGGAGGGTCTTCTCTAACATTTAGTCTCTGTAGAATTTTGCTTAAGAATACTACCAAAAAGGTCATGATCATGAGTGCTATCTCGATGGAATCCCATCACTTAAAGAGTGTAAATTCCTTCCACTCAAATATTCCATCTACACAATTGGATCAAGTAACCAGCATGAATACAGCTCCTAGAAGACTGTGTCAATCTTTAGCTCTCACCATGAATGTACATGGTACATTGTGATGGCTGATACTAAACTAATTGTGTATTTATGGGACCAGCAAGATTAGGTTAGTCACCCAGGTAGAGAAAAGGTTTCTGGAAGGACAGGAGCAACCTGTAATGCAAATATTGGTTTTCCTGGTACATTTGGGCTCTGTGGTCATCACTGAGAACAATGAATGGAGAAAGGTACTGATATTTCATAGGAAAAAGACCAGCTGTATATTTTTACAAAGACCAGCTTGTTTATGTTTCCCTTAAATCCCAAAGCAAAAAAAAAAAGAAGAAAAAAGGAGTGGGGTAAAAATCATTATAATTGAAGACTGGTTATAATGCTCCTAAAATGTTTGTATATTTTAAAAGAAAAAGAAAAAAGTACATGTTAAGTAAATTTAGTTTGAGAAATTGGAGAATAATTCCATCTTCTATCAAAGAAAAGTCAACCAGAGGTCTGGATTTGGCAAGAAGACTGGGAATCTGTTCCTCTTCCCATGCATAATGTGGGCTAACTCAACCCCCAGTCGTTAAATCATTGTCTTGGGTAACTTAGGTTGTCTCATTAAATAAGTTTGAAGCAGGTGAGTTTATGCTCAATTAAATTCATTTTTGTCACAATGAGTTTTCCATTGTGTGGTAATATTTTGTACCCTTAATGTGTTGTTATTAAGGACTTGGGGGGGGGGGGAATGGAGTAATAAATAAAAGCTGCATTTCTAGAGAAACCTAAAAAAAATAGAATATTAATTTTTCTTAAAAAAATTAAACATTTGAAAATGTAATTCACAGCATTAAGTAGACTGCATAGGTCCTCAGTGAAGGGACCCTGAAGAAGCATTGTTTAAACCCTCATAGTAGTTAGCAGTGCAAAACATACACTTATCAGACAAAAATAAACTAAAATGTTACTTTTGAAATAAATAAAATGAGGTCATTGTTCACTACTCCGTAGATCTCAGAATCCGCGGGAAACGCCACATGACAGAGCACAGCACAGTTGTCACTGAGAAGTTCGTCATGCCAGAACACCGGGTGATGGATCTGTCACTCGAAGCCTGACGTCCGTTTGAATCGTGATCTGGCTTCCCAGATTCATAGTTCAATAATGGGAACGATCTCTGAACTCTACACGATGAACAGTAGGAGTTGGGAATTCATTTGTTTTCAAAGTATTGTTTCTTTTTTATTTTGATTTTTTTCCAGAAAAGAAATCCCAAAGCAAATTTTCGCTAGGGTTTTTTGAACGTGTCTTGGCTCTTTTACCTCATGGTTGAAGATCTTGAAAGAAGAATGCAGGATATCTCTGGGTGATGTGGAAGCCTGGAAAAGTAGCCTACCACGCCTTTCTCCCCGCTCTCAAACAGCACACACTCAGATTGTTATGTATGAAGCAGGGTGGGAGGGATCTCTTCCTGCAGGATAGTTATGGGCTTTAATAAATATTATCACTGCAATATCAGACTTCAATCTCACCAGAACTTCAAAAACATTATCCATTTTGTCTTACGAAACAAAAAAAAACAAAAAAAAAAAGACTGTCACTTGAAAATTTTCTTTGCATTTTCCTGCAAATGAAAACATTTGTTAAAAAGTTCATCTATGAAAAGTCCTGACATAGCTTAAAATTTTTTTTTCTTTTGTACACTTGTTCCCATAATTATACTGAATTTAACGAAAAATGAAAAAGAAAAAAAAAGCCAATGCAAGACAAAGGAAGGTAAATACTGTATACTTGCTGAAAACCTCTTCCATCATTTGATTCAGTTTCCCAGTTCTGATCATAGAAGCCACTTCAATCTTGAGTTCACAGTAGTAAAGAAGCTATTAAAGGCTCAACGTGTTTGGCTGAGGGGCCAGAGGGGCACTGAGGTGGTAAACCACGTGCATGACTCAGCGTCAAACTGTTGCACCAATCAGATTGGCTTCTAGTACCCCCACACGCGCGCACACATGCTCCTGTAACTGGAGTAGCTATTAATCCTACATGAATGTTTAATAAACTTGCTGTCTCGCATTAAAAAATAATAAGTGCATCAAGTATCTTTGTACATTCAAGTCACTTTCTAAGGCAAATTGTCTACCATATGTCCTCCCAACTGCTTTGGTATTTGCTTGTTCATTGGGGTGGAATTGGTTGTTTCCGCATGCAGGTTAATTGACTCAGAGTGAACTAACTGGGTACACAGGTGCTGGGAACATGCCTTAGACCAATCTACTCATGTATTGGAAGAGTCTGAGAGTTCCAAATGGGATTCAAACCACTTGTGTGTCCAATCTACACTCACTACATTATGTCAGTGTGCAGCCTTCAACTGAAGGAGCTTAATTACAGCATGAAAATCTCATATGCCCTCATGACAAGTTTTGTTCTTTTAGTGTTCTTCCAGCCAGCTTATTTTAGAAAATCAAGACCCTTTTTGATAACTCAGATTGACACAAGTTGAAAACTCTGCATATATGGACTTCAGAATATAAACTGCCTAAGAAAATGCAGACCAAATTGGTTATTTTCTCTTCCTTACCCCACCCTGTTCTCCCTTTTCCTCTCTGGGTATCTCACCAGCCCTCTCTACCATTATATCTCCTTCCTTTGCATTCTTTTTCTTTCTCATTCTCTCTCTTTCCTGCATTCTCTCTCTCTCTCTTTCTTCCTCTCTTCCTCTTGCTTTCTCTCTTTCTCTCTAAGACAAATGCCTCTACCTCGCAGAAGTCAATTGAGTTTGCTAGTGCATGAATTCCAAATGTTCAGCAGAGATGAACTAGGGTAGGTCATTTTGCAGTAACTTGAACCCTATTGTGGGGATACTGTTAATTCCCTTAGCAATCAGCAAAAACTGAGCAATATTAGTGACTTGCACCACCATGACACAGCATAGCGTTTGGCAGGAAACAGTTCAGTGACTTATTTAGATGAATTGACTTTTTAGAAAAAGTAGTTTCAAACTGAAGAATTTCTGGAAACAAAGTTCAAATCCTGTGGTGTGGCTGGTCTTGGTCTTTACAGTTCGATCTTGCATGCAGGGAAGGATTCATCTTGCATAACCACAGTGCTGCTGCTTGCTAGAACCATGATGTTGAGGTCTTGTTGTTTCTCATGGGTCTCCTGGTACCATTCCCTCATCACCTCGGAGTCATGAGTCGGGATCAGGGTCACCTGCAGGGAGAGAGCAAATAACTGCTGAAGGGCAGAGCAGGAAATCAGATTAAAAAATAGAACAACCATAAGGTATTAATAAGTTAGAGAGAAGAGTAAAGAAAGGAAAATTTTACATTTTCCTCAGGAAATGCTAAGGACTTTTCTTCAACTTACATTTTCCATGAACCAGAATCAAGTTGCAAGAAAATATCAAGATTTTTCAAGGAAGGTGAAGACGGGAACCAAATGCAACTAATGACCAGTCAGTTCACCTATATTCACCATCCATTTCTCAGTTCTTTAGTGTTAAAAGAAGTGCTTTAGCTAAGGTGGAATTTCTGTATTTCCTTTAACAAACTTGGTGAATTTTGCATCAAGGACAATGCATATTTAATGCAAGGATCTTTGGTTGTTATTGTAGCTCAAAGCTTTCTTCTGGGTGTAATTAACATTTTGTCCTGAGAACAAAAATTTGTATCTTTAATTTGGGGGGGAGAGGTGGGAGAGGGTGAAGTGACAGAGGATCGACATGGGTGGGTTTGAATAGTAAAAATTCCATCCAGAATTCATTAAGAGGCCACTGGTGCTTCTCAAGAGATTTCATATGATTAACTAACAAACAAATCTACTTACTATTATGCAAATACAATTTACTAGGTGACTTCGCAGACAAGTAAAACTTAGATAAGCAAAGATCACAGCCAAAATAATAAAGGAGTGGTCTGTGGCCAGTCATATCTGTGAGGGGGATAGCCTGTTGGGGACCATCCTTAGCAATGCCCCTCCTGTAGAATTTCACATGGACAGCTACTTTTCCACTTGGCCACACTGCTAGCTTTGGTCTATTCATGAAGCGCAAGGGAATAAAAACAATTCCTTAGCAATTCTCACACAGAAAGATGGCCACTGTGATTCGTGCACACTTACACTTGGTTTATTAGGAGAAAGGACAAGTAATCTTGGGCCCATTGGGTGGGTAAATAAGTTACACCTGCCTTATGATGGGGAAGTGGCTTTCCTCCCAGGACATGGTTGTTACTGGTACCAAGAATAGTATTTTAGACTACCTGCTGTGTGTCAAATCCACTCTGTCCTCAGGATATTTCACGCATGACAGAACCATGAACACTACATGTGGATCCACAATCACAACGTTGCCTCCTTACACACGACACCTTCCCTCTGCCTCTGGGCACAGCTCCACAGGCTATGCGGACATGGTCCTGGGCTCTTACCTGCATGTTGCTGCCCCACTGGGCCTTCCCTTCCAACAGGGCATCCAGGACAGCCCGGCTGGGCTCCTCGGCAGCAGGGTCATTCCCACTCACCACGTAGTAGGATGACCTCACTCTCTTGAAAAATTCGACATCGACATTCTTACTATTGCTGTGGTTGGGAATATAGCACAGGTCCAAGTACACAGGCGGGCCTGGAGGCACAGCTGAGGGTTTGGTTGTCTTGGTGGTCCCTGGTCCTTTGGTAAATAAACAAAGAGAAGGCCAGGGTCACAGGAATGCGAAAAGACCCCCAGGTCCAGGACACCACCCCTATTCATCCACAAGAAGGTCCACAGGACATGCAAAGGGACACTGAGCATTTCCCGCTCTCTGGTAGAGGGCATTTTACTAGTAGCCCTGGCATTTAACCATTTTAATCTGCATTTAGTAAACCACAAGAAAGCAATGTTAGTAATCCACGTTAGGAACTCATTTGAAAGCAATATTGCCCATAGCTGAATATTATACCCTAATATTTGACCTAGAAACTGGTTTAGATCTTAACTTTGTATGATTTCCAAAGCCCTCAGCACCTCAACTTCATTCATAAACTGTTGAAAGGTCACTTTCCTTAGCACAATACTCTCAAAAGAGACACCTCTCCCTACACAGGGCTGGATACCAAATTTAGTGAGAGGAGGGTTCAGAAAGACTAGGCTTTCTCTAGCCAATCAGGACATACCAAACTGGTGAAAGGGGTATCTGGTTGCCTGAATTCCCTGTCTGAAGTAAAAAAAAAAAAAAAAAAAAAAAAAAAAAAGCCTGGGCAAAGTGAAGATTCAAATTAACCCAAAAGATTCTTGGCATTTTGTAAGGTGAGCTGGCTTTCTGACTTGTTCTAGTTACAAGGTTTAAACTTTTTGAAACATAAATAGAACTAGCATTCTAAGGCAGTGATTCCTCATCCTGGCTGTATAATTAGAACCAACCAATACTTATTAGTACTTAATGCTTAATACTGATGTCCAGGCCCCACATCCCAGAGTCTAACTTAATGGGCTGGGGTGGAGGCCTAGGCACCACCATCTTTTAAAAGCACTCAGGTAATTCTAATGTGCAGCTGGTTTGAGACCACTGCCAAGTCATTTAAAATATCAACCGGATTCTATATATTTAATCCTATTTCCTTTCTCCTTAAGATGTTTAAAGACTGTCATCCCGAGTCAAAACCACCAGTGAACTCCATCAACTGCCCAGTTGTATTTTTAAGGGTTTGGAGGAGTGGTGAGAATCAGCCAAGCTGATATCTAAATACACTGACTCATTTTAGTGAATCTGAGCTGAAAGCCCTCAACTATCCATGTGTAAGCCTCCCAAAGACTCTAACTTACAGAATTTTGTGAGGTATAATTTTTTAAATAATTAAAAATGCCTGGCCCTTGCTGGTTTGGCTCTGTGGGTAGAGTATCGACCTGCACACTGAAGGGTCCCAGGTTCGATTCTGGTCAAGTCACATGCCCGGATTGCGGGCTCAATCCCCAGTAGGGGGTGTGCAGGAGGCAGCTGATCAATAATTTTCTCTCATCATTAAAGTTTCAATCTCTCTCTCCCTCTCCCTTTTTCTCTGAAATAAATCATATATATTTAAATGCCTAGAATTTCCCCTTGCACACTAAATTGCTACCATCAACACCAAATGAATGTCACTCATGCAGAAGCACAAGCTGAGGGAACTGACCGATGTTTACCCATGTTTATTTTAAAAATCAATTAATAGTGCAATTTTGTCTTTTTAGAGATCTGTTGGAAAAGCATCTTCATGCAACAAAAATGAAGCCATCTGAGACCTGTTCAATCAAAAACTCAGGTATTGTTGAGAACTTGAAAAATCTAAGAATTGGGACCAAAACATGAATGGTCAGAAGTCAGGCATATTGCTCCTGCCATGTGCAATTTAATCCAGAATAGAATTCTGAGTCTCAGCAAGACTGTGGGGTAAGGGGAGGATATAAGAAGAACCTTTGATGCTCTTCTCTTAATTTGGTCAGAATACCCTCTGGCCAACTGAAATTATAGTATTTGTTGGCCAATGAGAAAACAGAGCACTGCCTTTACTGGGGATGTAGCTCTAGTTTGGTGATTTTTTTAAATTGAAAATTTTATAATTTTAATTTTAAAATGTTATTATTTTTTTTAAAAAAATTAATTAAAAACATTAAATCTAAAACTTGGGCCTATAGTGGACATTCCAGGGTTGGCTTGGAACTCTAGTTCTCCCTAGGCCTCTGGAAATTCTGTCACCCGAGCTTCATTCTGGGGCCAGCATGGCTAAAGCCATTGCCAATACAGTCTTCCAAAGGAGGCTGAAATACTTCCTTAGTTCTGAAGACTTAGTACAAAGCTGCAGTTGCCGAGTTGCAGAATGAGCAAACCCAGGAATCTCATCTGGTGAACCAGAGCTGCTCTGGGCCATATACTGAGCTGTCCCCAAGCTTTTGGACAACATTGGGCTGAGATTGATACCTTTAGGCAGAAGAGATAGTGAAGGGAAGGGAGAGCACCCAGTTGAGCTCTCTCACCTTCCTAGTACAAGGTCAATGGAAAGTCAAAGGCTCTAGTTTAAAGTGGGATAGTTGTGGATGCCAGCACCTTCCACCTACCTGCAGTTGCAGTTTTGACTGATTTGGATGCGGAGGCGTTGGCGGCATTCTTGGTCTCCTTGTCTTTCTCTTCCCCACGTGCAGCTTTGACCTCAGGTGTGGTGGTGAGTTTTGTTGTTTTTTCCACTGATTCCTTCTTCTTAGGAGAAGTTACTCTGGTTACCTTCTCTGAGGATTCTTTCAAGCCCCCTGGTTTGGGTGAAGCTGCAGAAGGCTTGGACTTCCCATCACTCTTTTTGACAGGCGAAGATGACTTGGTCTTTGTACCTGGCTTTTTGGTTTTGGTCTTCTCTTTCAGGTCTTTCTTCAGAGCTTTGCCCAGGTTCTGCTCATTGGCCAAGGCCTCTGGGTCCATCATGGACACATCAGGATGGCGTGGAGAAGGGCTGCGGTCCTGCATGGGGGCTGGAGGTGGGTCCATGTGTTTGTATGTGACGGTTTTGTCTGTGGGGATGGTTTCTGATTCATCTTCAGAGTCGATATTTGCATCAGCTGTGATGGAGGGGCACTCTTCAGTCTCCGGGGGGACATCGGAGTCAGTCTGAGATGGGGCTGACTCGCTGACTGAGGTGGGAGGGGTTTCATCACATTGTCGCCCCTGTGGCTTTCCTCCTGGAGGCGGAGGGCCACCCCCTGATTGGGTGAGGGGCCTCTCGGATTCTTCAGTTGGCTCTTCACTGGCAAACCACTCGAGAGGATTGGGATTAATGAAGGAGGGTGACAGCTCTGTCTTGGGATGTTTGTATTCACAGGAGGACACGAGGCATAAGTCAACATCCTGGCGAGCCTCCGAGGGGGACTTATTTTCTGTAGTGTAGCACTGGTCTGAAGTCTCATAGGAATATGTACTCCCCTGAGGGGTTCTAGTGATTTTCTCTGACGTCTCATAGCAGTATGTGGAAGCATCAGGGGTTCGTGTAGTTTTTGTAGATGTCTCATAGGTGTAACTTTCAGACTCAGGGAAACTGGAAATTTTCTCAGTGGTCTCATAAGAGTAGCTGGAATCTCCAGGTGTGTGGCCACCATCTTCAGAGTCATCATAGCCATTGCTGATGTCATCCAGCAGTCTACTAGACCTCTCAGTCTTTTCGTAGCTATAACCACTCAATTCAGGGGTTCTTGTTGTCTTCTCACTTATCTCGTATGAGTACCCACCCTCTTCCGGGGCCCGTGTGGTCTTTTCAGTAATTTCATAAGCACAGCCACCATCTTCAGGAGTCTTGGTGGTTTTCTCAATGGTCTCATAGGAATAGCCACTGTCATTTGGGGCCTTAGTGGTTCTCTCTGTCTTCTCATAGTAATAGCCACCCTTCTCTGGGGTTCGGGTGGGTTTCTCATAAGACTCGTAGGGGTAACCTTCTTTATCTGGGGAACTGCTTGTTTTCTCAGGCTTCTGGTAGGCATAGCTGAAGTCACCAGGAGTCTTCCCTCCATTGTCCTTCTCCAAACCAGATGTGGTCAAATCTCTATTCAAGGCTAGATGGCGTTGCATTGTATCAAACAGCATCGAGGCACGGAAGCCATAGGGCTCTGTGGATGTTGCTTCCATTGATGGAGGAGCAGATGTGTCGTAAGCTGCTGTGTTCTCTTTGACTGCGGAGGTAGAATCTGAAAAACCAGGTGAATATAAAGGAGAGGACTCTCTTGGGGTGAGTGGAGAAATATCAGATTTTGGTGACAATGCCTCTCCTTCCAGATTTCTCACTTTTTCAGAGGTGAGTGAGGCATATAATGATATATCTCTGGGAGGAACAGCATCAGATAGAGTATCTTCTTGGAGAGGAGAAGCTATCTGAGAAGGGGTATGTGCAGAAGAGGTGGACGGGGAGGCCTCGACCTGAGATACTGAGATGAGCTCTGAAAGATCATTATCTTGGGTGTAGGATGGCTCCTCCATTGGTGCTATCTTATGCGATAAACTAGAGTCCTGCATGTCAGAAGGACTGTAGTCCACCTCAGTTGGCCCATTTTCAGTGATGTGAAGCACACTCGCACCCATTGTAGGGTGATCTGGAGACTGTCGACTAAAGTCCATAGCAAGGGAGTGCTCAGGGGATTCTTGACCAAATTCAATAGACATGGAGGATTGTTCAGACCTGTGATCTTGAACGGGTGTCCTGGATTTGGCTGTTTTAGGGGAAAAGTCTGGTGGAGAAATTGACATTGGTCTTGGGCATTCTTCTTTAGATGGAGACATTTCTGTTTCCTGAAAAGTGGTAGGCGTTTGCACGACAGACACGGAAAGAGAGTCGTCTACTTCTGTGGAATGGGGGGAACCGACCTCAGCATGCAAAGACGGAGATACGTCATCTGTTGTTGGCTCTGGAAATGAGCTTGTAGCCACGGAGGCTGTGGAGACTGAGGCCACACCCTCCATATGAGAGTATGTGTCTTCTGCTACACCTTCATCAACAGGGGTAGCTGACTTGTCTGAAACAGTACCTTCAGAAATGGACATCTTAGTGTCTTCTTTAAAAGATCCAAACTGACTGACATCTATTTGTGTAGGAGAAACATCTCCTCCTAACTTCCTTTCATCTAAAGCCAGTCCTGATTGAGAGCTCATGGTTTCAACACTGTCAGTTTTCTTTTGTGGACCAAAGTCTTCCTTTATTGGGATAAAGTCTGTGCTTTTCCCTTGCTGTTTGTCTTGGAAGAGACCAGTGGAAGTCATGTCAGAAACTGGACTTATTTGGTCTGAAAAGCCTTTTTTCACATTCTTTCCTTCAAAGGGACTTTCATTATATCTACTGGGAGCCTTGTGATCAGCACTCAGAAAACTTTCATAGGCAGACTCGGATCCAATAAGGGGAGGGCTCCGTAAAGGAGACAACACTTTTTCAATAGGAGACGCTGAGTCAGGAACAGGTTCATCCATGGGGCTTATGGAAGCCCTTTCATTCTCATCTTTGGCTTCACTGAATTCAAAGCTCACTGGAACTGCTGATGATTTTTCAATGACTTCTGTGGGGAGGTGACTGGTCTTCTCCTCAGTTGGAGATTGGTAGTAAGGTGTGTGGCCAGCACTGCCAGTCACAGACTGAGATGGAGACACCACTTCCAGGGTCTTATCTTCAGGACTAGCACAATGTTCTTCCACTACTTCTTGGGTCACTTCAGGAGATATTGGGGTTGCTTTTGTCTTTACTGGGACTTTAATCTCATTGGGTGTCAGAGAAAAGTTCACACTGCGTTCACCCAGGGGGGTCTTTTCCAGGGGTGATGGTGGAGTTGGGCTCAGAGATGGGCTCTTGGATGGACTAAGTTTTTCATCTGAAACTGCTGAGACGGTATCTTTGATCTCCAACGTGGCATTGGCTTTCTTGTCTTTCTCTCCAGCACAGTAAGCATCACGTAGAACAGATTTGCTAAATTTGTCTTCCTCCATGGATGAAGGTGGTGAGATGGTGGAGGCTGAAGCATTGTAATCTTTCCCATCAGTGGCATCTGTTTTTGACCCTTCAGATAACCCATTGAGTGATGTGACAGCAGGTTTGGTGTATTCCTGAGAATACAGCAAAGACTCATATTTGGTGATGTTTACGAATTCTTGAGATGGGGATTCTGTCTCCTCATTGTTTGTCTCATCGCTCATCACGTCGCGAGGAGTAGACATCTCATCCATTGGGGTGGGCTCACTGGATATCTCAATGGTAGACTGAGTGTAGCCAGAGGTGGCAGTGAATTCTTCAGGCTGGTCTTCTCGATTCTCCTCATCAGAAGCAGTGGCCTCACTTTCCGAGCCTCCAGGTAAAGTCTCATCCTGAATTGTAGATGCAGGTTCCTGGGCGGGAGACTGGGCTCCCTGTTGCTTGGTTGAAGTGGTAAGGAAATCATACTGATCCTCAGCACCACTAGCCTCCGCAGCCTTGTCAACCACGGCCATCACATAATCTTCAGCTTCAGCTTTTTCAGGTTCATATCCTTCCTCTCTGGCATCCTCAGCTTTGTCTTCCTCATCGTCCTCCTCCTCAGATTGTTCAGCTTCTCCTTTCTCCACTGCCTCATCCATGTCTTCTTCTGCTCGGTCATCACCACTGGCCACAGACTCCCTCTTCTCCTTGATGTGTGCATCTGCCTCAGCCTTGGCACTTTCCTCCTCCTCCATGAGGCTGTGCTTGGAGGTGCTCACACACACGTTTTCTTCACCATCCTCTTCTGGCTCTTCAGCCTCTTCAGTTTCTGCCTTCTCTTCATAGTCTCCAGTCTCTGAAGATTCTTCAAAACCTGCTCCTTCATCTTCAAATTTTTCGATGTCTTCCACCCCTTGCTTCTCAACTGGCTCCAGCTCCTCTGGTGTTTGCTCACATTCACCCTCCCCTTCGGTGGTGGTGATTCCCTCATCAGGGGACTCAGCAGAACCTTTGCTGACTTCTGTCTCTTTTTGAATGACTGGCTCAGTTGCCTTCAGTTTCTCTTCATCTTCAATCAGCTCCAGCTGAGGCTTGATGTCTTTTGCTACACTGACCTCTTCAGCCTTTAATTCTTCAAAGTCCTTGGTTAGATCCTCAGGGGATGACATAAGGGACCTCTCAGCTTCCAGTTCTTTGGCAGGGCCAGTGGTTGCTATCCCAGCTGCTGCCACCACGGCCGCTGCAGTGGCCACAGTGCCGATGGCTGCTGCTGCAGCCTCTGTTGTCTTGCCTTCCTTCTTAATGACTTTAATTTTCCCCTTCTCCTTTAGCTTCCCGGCAGTAAGAGAATCTTTCTTGGCAGATTCTTCCTTCTTGGGTACTTTTGGTTTTAATGCAGCTGGTTTCTTTGCTTCAGATAGAGGAGTAGATGATTTCTTTACATCTTTAGGAAGTTTCTTAATTTCTTTTTTGGGTTCCTTTTCTTCCTTTTTAATTTCCTTCTTATCTTCCTTCTTAACTTCCTTCTTGGCTTCCTTCAGGGGTGTTTCCTTCTTAACCTCTTTCTTGATTTCTTTTTTCTCTTCTTTCTTGATTTCTTTTTTTACTTCCTTTTTCACTTCTTCCTTTTTTGGTTTTTCCTCCTTCTTGATAGGTGTTTTGTCCTCCTTTTTAGCCACTTCTTTCTTTGGCTTTTCCTTCTCCTCTTTCTTTTCATCAGGCTTGACTTTTGTTTCCTTTTTCACCACCTTCTCCTTGGTGACTTTGGGTTTGACATCTGTGGCTTGCTTTTCAGCCACCTCGGCTTTCACCGGAGGCTGTTCTTCTTTGCTAGGCATCTCCTTTTCGGTCACTGGAGGTTTGGTCTCTGTTTTTACTGGCTTGTCTTTTTTCACTGTTACTTTTTCTTTGCTTTCAATTTTGGGTGGCTTTTCCATGTGATTTGCTTTTGTGACTTCCGGAGTCTCTTCTTTAGACTCCTTTCGCACAGATTTGCTGGCAAGTGGTTTTGTGGCTGGCTTCAGACTCTCTCGGCTATCAGCCCTCTGTTTCAGTTTTACTTGTTTCACAGCAGGCGCAGCCACCTGGCCAGTTAGATCTTTCTGGGTGGCCAGTGGCTGTTTCAGGAAGTCTAAATGTTTGAGCTTTTCCAGTCCCTCCAGAATATTATATTGGGTGCTGTTTCCAGGAAACAGGACTCGGATGATTTTCTCTGCAGGGTTTGCTGGGTGCCATACAATCAAAGATGAGACTGAGGTTAAGTAGGAAATTGGAATATCTATTTCTTGACCATTAGGCAGCATAAATTCAGCCTTGTCTTTGTTGGTGCCAGTCCACTGCTGCATAAAATACTGCATTTCCTTGCTGCTCTTGACTGGGTTAAGCACATACATCTCAAGTTTACCAACTCCCATTTTTTGGAAAAGAATGACAGGATCAATGGCATTGCCTACACTTCTGAACAGAGGTTCTGGTTTCATGGATAATTTGCTTAGATATTGGAGAGTGAAGCAAGCTTCTTCTATGCTTCTCTTCATCTTGATGTTTGGCTCTGGGTTTTTCAGATTTTCTGGGACATTGAGAAACACAACGCCTAAGTCAGGGGAGATGAGGTTTTTCATCCAGTCACTGTTGGTGGTGGAGCCTTGGGACTGCTCTTCCTCAAGCTCTGCAATTTTCCGCTGCAGCATGCTGTTTATTCCAGGCAAATTGTCGTCCCCAATGTGGGTGAGCAGGATGGAGTCCACTCGGTCCAAGTGTCGGATGAGCTTCCAGAAGCAGGATTTTCTTTCTGACCCTCCATTGATGAGCATATTGAATCCGTTCACTGCAAACAAGGCAGAATCACCCCTCCCTCCTGGAAAAATGTAGCAACATGGCTTGGAAAGCTTTAGAAATCCACCCGATGTGGGGGGTTCCAGGATATCAAAGGGAGACGGGACTTCCACTGATTCTGAGAGATACTCGGTGAACTCGGAAAGTCCTTCCATTTCTGGCAATATAGAAGCTGAGTTGAGTTTAATATTGATGAAGTCTTGGAGATTGTGTCTGTCAAGGTTGGAGTTCTTCCAGTCTCCTTCTTCAGGACAGAAGAGGGTCAAACTAGCTTTGTTGGCAGGATGGGTGGTACTCAGTAATTCCCCAATCTGGGATTTTAAAAATAATAAACAAAGAAAGGAAAGGTTTAAGTGAATGTCATCACTGATCCACCATCTCCATGAATTATTAGATATTATAGGATCATTGGACGCACAAAGGACTGACTTCAGGGATGCTGGTTGTTTAAATTCTGAAATATTTCCACAATGGTAGGTGAATAGCCTCTGTCCTGACCACCCCACACACTGCTCTCTTATGCCTCAACCACCTCCCAGAACACCTCTACATAATTTTCTTGTGCAGCAGGAGAACTCCAGAACTCTGGTCCAGTTCTAAGACCAGTGACCATTTGGAAGACCAGGGCCTGTGCTACAGTGGTTATGAAATACTTTGATATTACAGTGGGGTGTGCAGGACACAGCCTCTCCCTTATATAGAGAGAGTAATTGATATATATATTGCAGGGGAAGGCTATGTGAGTCACTTTACCACTGATATAAAATATTTTCTTTTATTACAATGAGTTTGGCAAAAAGGCCTGATGGATACATTGAATTAATTTAGTTTTGGTTCATTTATTGTTGTCTACTTTTAGAATTTTGTAGGTGCAAAAGAAAAAAGGTTTGGTGTGCTTTCTTCCCCTCTGCACCGTCAGGAGACAGGAAGTTATGGATTGCTCATTATTACAAAAAGTTCTGGTCCTGGCATCAGTTCACACTATTTAAAATATGAGTAGTTCATCCAGCAGATTCTCTAAAAATATAAATATTTTTATTGAAGCCATGATGATGAAAGCAACTGGGCAATTACACAAGCAAGCATCCCAATTTGTCCCCATTTACTCATGTTTGAATCCAAAGTGAGACATTCTACTCTCTCACAACTCCTGAGCTTTTCAGGGCACGCTAGGTATGAGTGGTTATGATCAAATATGGCTCAAAAAGGAGAAGGGATTAAGAAGTACAAATTCATAGTTAAAGGGATGTAAATCAAGTACAGCAAAAGGAATATAGTCAATAACATTGTAATAACTATGCTGCCAGGTGGGTACTGGGAGGGAAACGGAGGGAGGGGGTTGGAGGGGAGAGGACACTTTGAAAAGTATATGATTAGCCGAAACCAGTTTGGCTCAGTGGATAGAGCGTCGGCCTGCAGACTGAAAGGTCCGGGGTTTGATTCCGGTCAAGGGCATGTACCTGGGTTGTGGGCACATCCCCAGTAGGGGGTGTGCAGGAGGCAGCTGATCGATGATTCTCTCTCATCAATGTTTCTAACTCTCTATCCCTCTCTTCTTCTCTGTAAAAAATCAATAAAATATATTTTTTTAAAAAGAAAAAAAAAGTATATGATTAACCATTATGCTATACATCTGAAACTAATACAAAATAATACTGAGTGCAAATAGTAATTTTAAAATATTATTTTAAGAAAAGGAATAGTTGAGCATAAACCAGAAAAAAAAATGTGCTCAAACATTTTTAATACATTATTTAATATTTCCTATAAGACAGGAGTGCAGAAGAGCAAATTGTGTCCAAAACAGAGATTGTGGTTCATTGAAAATGCTATTTTTGTCTCACTCCATGTTATGGCCATTTGTTTCATAGTCTTTTAGACTATGAAACAAATAGTCTTAGCTTACTAAGTAGTAAGGGAGAATCATGCCATAAACTCTGGTCTTCTTTTGGGTACAGCAAAGCTCATAAATCAGCCCAGAGATACAAAAAGAGCTCTTGACCTTGAAGGTAAATTATGAAGGGCAATGCAAAGATTCCATGTGGTCCAGGCATCCCTAAGCCAGCAGGTTTGAACTCTCTCACCTTCTAGTTTTAGAGTGATTTCCTCTGTCTCACACAACCTTCCAGATACAATATTTGAGGCTACTAGTGCGTGTGCATAGAGTAATTGATAGAATCTGATTTTTTTTCTACCTAAGATTGAAGTAAAATAGCCATTTTTGTTTTGTTACGTCTATTTGTCCCACATTTCATATGAAGGGTCTCAAAATAGCAAAAGAATAAATCTTTGATTTTGCTGTTTCCTCTGATTTGACCCTCTCCTTTTAAAAAGGATAGGAATCAACTATTTTGGAAGCTAAGACAACTGAAAAAGTCAAAGGTAACCATCCTGGTAATTGTTGCTCAAATTATTTTTTGGCCAAAGCAAACATGAACACTACATATGGTTTCTTGTCCAATAATTAGCATAGACCTTCATTGCCACCACTATAGCACAATTAGGAGTCTCTCAATCCTAATTTTCACGCAGAACACATGCAAACTATTCATGTTTTATAATACATTTTAGAGGAGAAATCTAAGCAACTAAACTATTGACTCTTTTTTTCAACTGCTGACTCCTTAAGAGTGAAAATTTAAATTTTCGTCTACTTTAATTTTTGAAATTCCACCCTAAAGACTGTGGCAGCCCAAGGATTTGATCCTATGTGAAGGAGGTATTCAATCACTAACTCTTTTTATAAAACTTGTAATCACAAAGTTCAAAGAGTAGGTAAAATGACTTGAAGAATACCTCCTCAGCTTCCATCTTTTCACCTCTATCAAGACAGCCTATAAAATGAAGGAAATTACCCAAAAGAAAACAAGGTTGCTGAGAACTCTGAGGAAATCAAGGGCAATGAAAAACAGCAAAGAGGCTGGTGAATGGGAAACTATGATTTATGAGAAAAACAGGGGGGAAAAAGCATTGCTGGACAGGTTTCTTTTCAGAGAGGGAAAACAGTCTCTCGGAAGAAGCAGCGGCAGGATGAGACAAGAATGCAGAGACTGAGCTAGAGAGAGTCCTTCAAGAAGGAGTGATGAATGGAATAGGTAAAGAGGCACAACTACTACAGCAAGAGTGTCAAACTCAAAGGCTAACACGGCCAAATAAATCCGTGAGCCACGAGTTTGACATGCTTATACTACAGACTTGGAGCTACACAGAGGAAATGAACTCTCTGCTTCCCCTGAGAGGCCCCAATGCCTCTACTCCAACATACACCCTAGAGACCAAGCACCTCAAGGGCAAAGATTGGGTCTTAAAAGTGTCCAGCCCATAGTGGCACCCAATCAACATTCACTCAATTTTCGGATGAGAGCAATAAGAAGGATCCAACAAGGAAGCAGTGGCAAGGGAACTTGTGACAAGCTCTTAGATTAGGAAACTGAGGCTTCTAAGAGATTGGAAATCATCATCAAAGTAAATGGTAGCTATTATAGCACAATATAGGAAAAGTTCCTAAATCAGAGGAAACACATCTTCTATCTCTCTGTATCATAGTTATCTATGTTTCCACAATGTATTATCAGATTCAACAGATGTTTGTTGAACTGCACTGAACTTTATCCATTCAATACGTGCTGTCCTCCTGGAGTAGACACTTGAGAAGTGACACGAGCCTGTTCTTACTTCTCAAGCACACTGATTGCTTGAGCCTAAACCTGATTGCTACCCTCCCCTTGTTCTTACAAAGGTGGATGAGAGACGTGACTGGAAGAAATATTGCTCGGGGCAAAGATGGTCTTTTGTCAATTTCTTTTTCTAATTAAATGCAGGCATACTGGAAAAGGAAGGAAGATAGAGGAAATAAATTACTTTAGTGCAGATAAAAGTAATGAAATATGATTTGAATTTCTAAGCCATGGCCTCCTAACTACATTTCCTTTTTTTGATTAGGTTACTTGTTTGGGTAATGAGGAAATACAGTGGACTGCGTAACTCTGCAAGACACTTAATAGGATTTCTGAACAGTGTGATAGCAAAATCAGGTGGATTTGTACCAAGCTGTATACACAGTGCTGCTTAGTGTCAACCTGGGAAGAGGTCTATGGTGGGCTGCCTCAGGGCTCAGTTATGTCCTGTTGAGTATTGACCTGGATAAAAATGAAGACATGATTATCAAATGTGTGATGGCATGAAAATGAGAGACATGGCAAAATGTGAGATGGCAGGTTAAGACATTTACAAAAGCCCTGGACATTAGGATGATGATGGCTAAGTCAACTGTGACAGGATGGTGTTCTAAAGGGATAAATGTGAGGTCCAATAAACCAGCTGGCTAACGTGCAGGATTTGGAGACGTGGCTTAACAAGAATATCCATAGAAAAGACTCAGACAAATGGATTTATCATAAAGCTACAGAAGCTTAAACTTTGAGACCCCTCAACTGGCATGGGTGCCTCCGAAAACCCTGTACTTAATTGTATATTAATAATTTTGTTTTCTTTTTCTTAAAAGGAGCCCACAAGTTATGTAATTACAGAGCTCCTCAAAGCCTGCATCCTCTCCCCATTGATATTTAATTGTGGATGGTAATAGTCAAAAATTACTTTTAGACTTACTTAATAGAAGACTGTATTAAAAACAATAGTCATCAGCTCTCACAACACATCTGGTCAATGACCCTTGGAGTATGGTGTCCAGTGTGAGTCTTGGAATTTTAAAGAAACTAGACCATAAACAAACAAGCAAACAATTTGAAAGAGGTTGCTTTGCTGGCTCCTTCTTCTTGGCCTTAACTTTTCTTCTAATACATTGCTCCTTCTAAATTACTTCTAAATCTCCTTCTAAATTACTTCATCTACTTTTTCATATGCTGATGGCTACCACATTAACTTATCTGACCCAACTCTTAGCTCTCTGAGCTCTGGACTCATGTATCGTATCCAGCTTGGTGTCTGATAATACCAAGGCGCTAAAGCATGATCAAGACTGAACTCCTGCATTTTCCGCATACCCACTTCATCTCCCCTTCCTACCAATGAAAGGAGTTTGAAGGACAGTGACCAGGGAATATAGGAAATCTTTAATAGCTTGGTTTATGTAGAACAGTGGGTGGAACTGAAAATGATTAATCTGGAAGGAAAAAATTAGCATTGTTATTGAAGAGTGTCTAAGATAGTGTCAGATGTAACAGGGATCACAGTTCTTCCTTGAAGATACAAGGAGACAAATAAGGAAAAACTTTCTAACAAAGACACTAAAACATGTCCCCAGGAGATGGTGATTTCACCATTCTTGGATTTCAGAGAGTTGTAAGGTTAGCCAGATGACTGTTTTAAGTCTAAATTCTGGTTTGGAAATTGACCTCCAATGACTTAAGACTCCCAAAATCTGAAGCTCAAAGTGCACTGATAATTCTATTTTTAAGTCTTGCACATGTTTCTGATTTCTCTGGAGTGATGAGTAGGTATTAAGGACAGGATAAAAGGGGAAAAAACTGGACCTATAAGGTCCCTTTGCTAGTGTATCATTCTATACTCAAGTACATTCTATACTCAAGAATACCTATCATTCTATACTCAAGCCGTGTTCCAGTGCAACTACAGGCAATCATAGCTCTAACAGCCTGGCAACCATTGGTCCTGCCCAGTGATTTTCAACCCACTTTGGCTGCAGCAGCCTTTCTTCAAAGTCTACAATGCCAAAGGAATAAAGGCTGAGTTGCTCTGGTTGCGGCAAGAGGGAAAGAGTGAATCCTACCCAATATTCTCCCCTTCTTTATCTTCCCCCACCAGCCCTGACACCACTGACCTAGTCTGTTAGGGGGAATTCCAAAGACCCTTTTATGTTGAATATAACTTTCTCCAAAATTATTGGGTGGTGTTATGAGGCAAGCAGAAGAGACTATGGCAGAGTCTCTGGCCTAAAGGATACCTGGCTGAATATAATAAAGGTGTATGCCCTTCAGAGCCCATCCCTGTGATTTCAAACCCTGGGAATCTGTCCTTCCGCTGATTCCTCATTTAAGGCTGGTTCATTTTCTTTAGTAATTAAGGGTAAATTCTAATATGTGCAGAGCCTATTGTGCTAAAATTCTACTTTGTGGGCTAATAAAAAAAACAAACAAACAATTTAAGCAGCAATTTCATAACATTATGCCTTAAAGAGAGAGAGCGCTATTATTTGAGGTCAGATGGATGAATTATGATACCTCCTTATTTAAGATTTGGGCAATGACAAACCTTTTCTTTGCATTCCTCCTTTGTTCGATTTTACAGCAAAGTCAAACCAATGATGTGGGATAGAAGCCAGCCACAGAAACTAATTGCAGAACTGCACAGGCATGCAGGGGAGGCACCCAAGCATATAAACGAGCTGAGGGTCAGGCTAACCTCAGGCCAGTGCACCTCCCACCCGGGCTATTAGACCACAGGGCAATTTCCAGGCCTCTACAACTCTCTCTCCTTTCCCTGGGCAAGGTGCTAATAACGTGTGCAACCTCTGACCTAGACAAATGCCCGCAGACACAACATGCACTGCAGAACTCAATCTTGCAAAAGATTCTGACTTTAAAGTGATCACACATCCGTTTTGGAGTGGCACATAGAGTGAGAATTGTAGTTCTAGATTGGAATTTCAGTGCAATGAACAAAAGCCTTTCCACTGTGTGGGTGCAAAAGATATGCCTTAGAGAAAGACAGATCACAGCCTCTGGAGAAAGACAGGGCCCTGTGACCCCTTCTCGCTGTGAGGAGCCAGGACTATCTGCCTCCGGATCCAGATGACAACGCTAAGTAAAATGTTTCTTTTCATTTTGTTACCCCTCCTGTCCCAGTGGGTGGGGAGTGAAACATAGTTCTGTCATCTGCCCAGCCTTTTTATAGAAGCCTCCAGGTGAGCCAAATGAAGCGGAGCAGTTTATTTACAGCTCTGGCCAGTGATGAAAAGTACACAGAGACCTCTCTGTGAAGCGCAGCCTAAGGAAGATTAAATGCAGAAAGACAGATGGCCCTTCACGACACCCAGGAGGCCGAGAGGCCACCATCTCAGGAAGTTCTCGGGAAGATGGTTTTAAATAGACGTGGTAACTCCTCCTGTCAGCACACCCCTCAACCCTCCAAATGGAAATCTGCTATCAGCTGCCGGCAGGCTCCAACCTGCTGCAGTGACAGCCCTGAACGTGTCTGTAACGACTATAAACAAATAAACAGAATGAAAGAGGCACATTCCTTTGGGAAGAAAAGCTGCCCAGCCAGGATAAATTCCCCAGGAAACAACCAAATCAAAATCTTCACTCGGATGTTCCCAAATCCCACTATCATCATCTAGTTTTCAATACCTCACATGTGTCGTCCTTGAATAAGATATACCCATCAGAAATATTCAAGACCCAGCTTCAGTCCAGCTTCTTCAACCCTCTTTTTCTTGGAGCATGAATGTGAACCATGAACCTGCTCCGTCTCCCTACGTGTAGCCCTTTCCTGAGCCCTCTCTTTTGCAGGCTGTTCAAACAGCCCAAACACTGGGGCCCGGCATTAAAAGGAAAAGAAACCAGAAATAATTAGATCAGGGAAAGGAAGCCCAAGCCTTGAAAGAGATCAGGGGTGGTTAAATCCTACCAGAAGTCCAAAGGGTTTTTTGGAATATTCTTTCAGAAAACAGGATACCTGGGTTTTCCTTTGGGCTCATTTCAAACGTTTCCATCATTCCAAATGTGGCCATCCGTAAAATGTCCACTGTTCCAACACCCCTCCATCTGACTCCGGGCCATTAAGAATGCTTCCCATTAATTCTAGACGAGCGCTCTAAATTCTTTTGGTGATGAGTCACGGGTTTTGCTTATTTCAGAAGAGGTGTGACATTCCCTCCCCTTCTTCTTCTAGCTGCTTTCAAAGAGCAGCCTGAGGCTACAACAGTAACAAAGCAATTATAAAGCTCACCTCTTGATCGGTGAAAATTTCTATGAAGTTCTGGAAGGAGAAAGAGCCGGACTGGAGAATGAGCTCCCCAGTATTTTCAAAGCACTGCCCAGTCAGCACGAGCAGCTTGTGTCGAGCAGCGTCAGTGATCATCAAACGCACCTGAAACAAAGCACAGGCAACAGGAGTTACGGCAGCTCCGACGTCTCACCTCAGGACAGGGCTAGCCCTGAGAATGCCCGGAGTTTATTACCAACAAAAACCATTCATTCCCTGGTTATTCATCCTCCCCCTGGGGTGTTGGACAAAGCCAATGACTGTGATCATCAGATCGCCCCTGAACGAGATTTTGGTTGACCTTCTCTCCCTAGTTTCCTTGTCTCTTTGAAAGCAGCCTCCGCAGCTGGTGATCATTTGCTCCACAGCTGTGTCTGCTAGCAGCTTGTGGTCTGAGCCTTATGACTATCTCATAGGCTGAGTCACCAAGTACAGTCCAGGTCCCACCACTACTGCCTCAGGAAACAGGTTTCCAACGAGGGTCCCAAGTCAGCCCCTCCCATACAGGATCCCCTTCCTTCCAAGCCACACGCCAAACACACAGCTCCAAATGCAGCCTACAGTGGGATCAGCCAGGTCCCTAACCTTGAACATAAACAAAAGGCTGCCCCTGAATGGAACCTTTGAAATAGGACTGTAAATGGTTTGCACTAAAGAACTCTGTGAACTTGAGGTGCAGGTCATCAGCCTATCCTTTAGCAGAAATGCTGCTCTAAGCCCAAGGTAATCATTCTATGCCCATTCCGCTGGGGGGTGGGGGGAGGGGGAGGACCCATCTCCCACCAAAAGCCCCCATCTAATCAAGGAAACGCACATATACTCAAGTAATTATTCCAGCCCCATCTGTTCCACAAGCAAGCCAGAATTCCTTAAAGAAATTTTCTATTTTTTCCCTTTTTCATGTCTCACAGATGTCTGGCTGGGTATACACCTTTTTTCAAATTGTATTTCACTTCCTGATTCTGTTAGTCGGAAAGAGAGAGATAGCCCATCACTTGCCTCAACTTTGTACCTTATTGAATTGTCAGAAAGGTCCAAGAGGACCTGCTAATCTGAAGCAGGAGGAAGTGGGGTCAAAGCAAGCTACATAATGCCCAGCCGGTGTGGCTCAGTGTGTGAACGTCAACCTATGAACTAGGAGGTCAGGGTTCGATTCCTGCTCAGGGCATATGCCCAGATTTCGGGCTCGATCCCCAATAGGGGGCATGGAGGAGGCAGCCAATTAACGATTCTCTCTCATCATTGAGGTTTATATATCTCTCTCCCTTTCCCTTCCTCTCTAAAATAAACTCAAAACATATTTAAAAACAAAACAAACAAAAAAAAAAAAAAAACAGGCTTCATAACGATAGCCAAAAAGGGGAAGCATCTCAAACCCATCAACTGATCAACGCACAAACAAAATGTGGTATAGCCACACAATGGAATAGTATTCAGCTCTAAAAAGAAATAAAGTACTGATATATGCTACAATGTGGATGAATCTTGAAAACCTTATGCTAAATGAAATAAACCAGGCACAAAGGGCCACATACTGTATGATTCCCTTTACCCAAACTACTTAGAATAGGTAAACCCATGGAGGCAAAAGAAGGTGAAATAGTTGCCAGCAGCTGATGGGAATGGGGAGTAACCGCTAATGGGTTCAAGATGTTTGGGGGGTGATATTCTGAAATTAATGGGGATGGTTGCACAGCCCTGTGAACATGTAAAACCCACCAAATTACACACTTTCAAAGCATGAACTTTATGGTATGTGAGTGGTATGGATGTAAAATATCTCTATTAAAAAGAAAAAGAAAAAAAAAAGGCCACCAGCTGGGCCCTGTAGCTGTGTGCGGCCCTGCCCAGACCCCGCGGAGCTGAATGCCCACCTCAGTGCTGACTGCTTCGTCTGAAGGGTTGATCAGGACCACTGTTTCCAGCACGTCACTTCGGTGATGAAGGATCTTTTGTCCTGTGGGCACAGAAACACAGACAAAAGAGGAGACCTTTAGCTTTTCCGGATTAACCCCGCCCACCCGCTGCTCCTGCCGAGGCGCTGCAGCGGGATTCTCCTTCGTCTTGGGAAACCGTCGGTGTTACTGAACCGGAGCGTGCAGGCCCCCACAGGTTCCTCCAGGAACCGGGTCTGTGTGTTCTGGGGCTGCTCAGGCTCCCATCACCCCCGCGTTTTCCAGGTTGATCGCCAGGCAGCCTGTGGGTTCATGGCGATTTTCATCTGAGACGGGGGCGGGTGCCAGGAAAACTCAACGGGGCTCCTGACATTTCCTTTCTCATGGTAATTGGGGATGTTTCTGCGTATCAGCCTTTCTTCTGGTGAGAGCGGTGCTGAGATTAATTAGGAGCCTTATTATGAAATGAATGACATCCAGGAACCCTGGCTAACAATTAGCCCAACCAACAGAATGGCTGTCTGAGGCAGGCTCATGGTCTGTAGGGGTATTCATTCATTCATTCTCTTGCTCATAGGAAAGTGGAGAAGCTGTGAGCAAATGAAAAGTGGAGAGCAACCCTCCTGCTGGACAGGGAACACGCAGCCAGATGCTGTGAGAAGGAAGAAGCCTGTGGAAGGGGGGCTGGCATTCTGCAGTGTTTGTGGCTCCACAGCCCTGACTTCCCACATCTGAGAGGTTTTAGGGCATCCCCTGGCAAAAACCACCTTTAGCTGAAGTGGACGGAGGCCTATAGGTGACCCACAACGGCTCACCCTCCTTGGACAATGAGTTGAAAGTGACCAGGTGACGTGTGGCCAGAGTGGGTGATATATGCTCTACCCATCGATGAGGGACAAAGAAAGACACGTAAGAGGGAGACACATGGTTGGGAGGGGAGACAAGAACATATGTGCCGAGTGCAGTGCAAAGAAACTTGGATAAATGGGAGGAAATGGAATAGAATCTCAGGGAGAGAGATACCAAAGGAGAGATATACAAGAAGAGAGAATGACCAAAAAGCAACTGCAATTCAGGAAAATTATGGTGTTTCTTCAAAAAGCTAAAATAGAACTACAATATCAAACAGCTGTTCCACTCCTTGGTGAATTAAAAGTTGGGATTTGAACAGATACTTGTATGCCAATGTTTATTGCAGCATTTCTCACAATAGCCAAAAAGTGGAGACAACCAAATGTTCACCCATCGTTTACCCAACCAAAGGAATATTACTCAGCCATGAAAAGGAAAGAAGTTCTGATATGTACAACAACAAAGATGAACCCTTAAAATATATGTTAAGTGAAGCCACACACAGAGGGAAAACTACTGTACAATGTCATACATGTAATACCTAGAATAAGCAAATTCATACAGTCAGAGAGCAAATTAGAAGTTACCAGAGGCTGGAAGAGAGGAACTGGAGAGTTACTGCCTAATGTGTACAGAGTTTCTGTTTGAGGTGATGAAAATTTTTGGAAATAGAGGTAATGGTTACACAACATTGTGAATGTAATGAATGCCACTAAATTGTACATTTAAAGATGGTTAAAATGACAAACTTTATGTTTTCTATATATTTTACCAGAACTTAAACAATTAATAGTGTAACAATGCCAATACCTATTAAATAGTACACTTTAAATGGGTGAATTGTATAGTATGCGAATCTCAATAAAGAGGTTACATGAAAAAAAGCAGTCCAGGATACACAGCTTAATTAGGGCTTTTCCCCTTCATCTCATCGGGGACCAGCACTACTATGGAAACAGCGGTGTGATGAAACACCACCACTGATCATCAAAGTCTGTTCCTTCCATTGCCTTTTCTTTCCTAACTGTAACATTTCCCAGTAGACCCCGCATCAGACATGGAAGAAGCCCAAACTAAACATTAATGATGGCAGGCTCTGTTCTAAGCACTGCACATGTACCAACTCACTTAATCCCCAGAAGAGCTCAAGAATCGAGGTGCCAAGTCCCCTTTTACCGTAAGGACAATAAAGTCTACAGAAGACAATTAACTAGCCTAATGTCACACAACTAGTAAGTGGTCGAGCCAGGGCCTGAACAAGGCACAGGCATTTAATGCCAAGGAAGAGCTAGGGAAAATCCAGGGGAATAAAATCAGAAATGTGCTTAAAGAAGCAAGAAGCATCAGGAGAAGACTATTAGCAACAACAAAAATTTTTTAAAAATTAAATTTAAAAAGGTGGCAGGACACCCACATAAAGAGGGTAAATTTAAGAGAAGGTGTGTGGTCCTTTACTCCCAATGCCTGAAAATACAGAAACCCCAAAACAGAACGATGCCACACAATTTGAGCAGGTGAAGGACGGAGCCTCAAGAAAAATAATTCAACTCAGACATAGGCAAGAACGTTCACTTAGGAATGCCAGAGTCTATAATTTGCTGGGTGTTGCTTTTTTGGCGTGGTTGCTTTTGCTTTTGACAACCATATGCATTCAAAGCTCACACAAAAGAATATCCAATCGAATAAGCAAATGATAAAATGACAGCAAAACACAGTGAACGGTCTCCTTTCTAAGTCCTTCCATCTGTGGCCTCCATGAAGCAAAGACCTCAGAGGCTACAAAGGCACCGAGTTGAGATAAAATTAAGCAAAAGCTTGAAGCCCGGGAGAAATGAAAGGTCATTTCCTTGATCAAACATTGGACCTGTTTTCAGAAGGCATCTTGCCACAGTGTGACTGTAGTCAATGCTGAAGGATACTGTGAGAACCCACAAAAGCAGACATGGCTCCTTCCCCAAGAGATGGCAAAGGAATCAGAGCCCCGCTTCTTTCCTAAGTGATCTCCTCACTGCCCCAGCTGCTGAGAGCATCCTTCCAGATGCACATCTAAGCAACAGCCCAGCCTGCCCCACCCAGAGTGCCCTTCCTTGGACACTCCCTGTCAGGGGACGCCTTACCATCCACAAGAAGCTCCTTTCCTCTGTGGCTTCATCACTTCCAAACAAAACAAATGCCATGTGACAGTGGCTGTGACCTCTACTCCTTCCAAGTCAACTTTCAGACCTGTTGGCACAGGATTTCAACGGAGGATGCTCTTTCTGTCCATCTTTGGAAACACTGACACAGACACGCACCAAAATACCATGGCTGCTCCCTCAACAAAAGCCTTTTTATAGGACTGAATTTGAATGAAGGAGGGGATTGAGAGAGAGAGAGAGAGAGAGAGAGAGAGAGAGAGAGAGAGAGAGAGACAAGCTTCAAGCTCTTGTCACAGCCCGACTGTTGGCCAGATTCTTCTCCCAACGACGTAACCAGGGGCCGGGCCTTCCTGGCATCCCACAAACCCAGGGCCTGCTGGAGGGGCTGGGGCGCCGTGCCCCCATCCCCGCATCCCCATGGGATGCCAGCTTCTCTGGCAGCAGGCTGCTCCGAGCTCTGGCTGCCTGGACGCTTACAAAGCTGCATATTTGGGGAATGTTTCACACTGGGAAGCGGGCCAGGCATTCTGAAGAGAGGCCGCCTGCCACCCCCGCCTGAAAAGGTCTCATTCAATTGCTTCAAAGAATAAGTTCCCAGGAAAGAAAGACAAGCCAGTAGCAGCCGCTCCCTCCACCATTACCATTACCCTTATAGATCGCATGCTACGGAAACAGCTCACGGGGGAACCACTAGGCAGCCCAATGAATAGGTAACTCCCCTCAGCACTGGTCTGAGGGAGGCAAAAGCAGGGGTTTGAGATGGAATGACTGTCATCATTGCTTTGATAAGTAAGACAGGCTTTGAGGGTCCCCCACAAACGCAGTGTAATTGTGAAGGCTCCATCCCGGGGGCAGAGGGTTGGGGGTATGTTATGTGACACAGAAAAATGGGTCTGCTCCACCTCAGCAACAACAGAGGATGGTCCGGGACCCCCTGAGGCAGGAGGGTCCTTGGAGACAATGAGACTTTTGTCGCTATACTGGAAAAGGCCATGCTTGAAACTCCATACACCTGTATATTTCCATTATTGCTAGGATTTTTTTTCTTTTTTCAACATTGAATCTGTCATTAAGGTTGGGCTATTCTAGTGGTTTATGTTTTACCACATTCAGGTGACTGTGAAATCTCTTAAAACGACATGTTATTTTCTAGGTGTATAATTTTTAGCATGCTTATGGGGTCTCTTTAGGGTTTAATATGCATTTAATCTAATCTCCCTCCCTCCCTCTCTCTCCCTCCTGGTTCATAAAGACAATGACCACGGCTGGATTCAAAGTCACCCAGCCCCGAGGCACAGCCATAACCAAACCTCCGTAAACTTGGCACCATCTCTCTTGCACAGCTGACCCTTCTCTCCCACACCCATCAGCCCAGAGCACAGTGACTGAAGAGGCTGTGACATCTCTGTCGGGGCCACAGCAACACACAGAACTGTCAGCCCTGTTAGGCAGCTGCTGAATGAGACAGCCTGGCCCCATGGAGAGCCTGCTGGGGCCACGGCTGTGGCTGGGCGGAGAAGTGGGGAAAGCCCTTGACGAAAACAATAGCTTGTCATGCTAAATACAACCTAAAAACTGTCTTCAAATGAATGGTAACTCGGTATGTTTTAAGGGTAAATATTTCATTTTTATTCCCAGAAGTTTATCTCTATAACTCCATTATCTGCAAAATGAATATATTACAACATGATCCGGAAATAGGAATTGAAGAAAAAAGAAAGCCTCAGATAGGTGCTCAGTATGGAAGGGAGAAGATGAGGGGATCCCGAGGCCCTCATAGGGATGGAGGTGACCAAAGCTGAGTTGTGGCTGGGCCTCCAGCAGAAGGGCCCTCACACCCACCTGCCTTTGCCCCCGACTCCACTGGCTCCCGCCGCTGCCCCATCCTCACCCACCGCCCTTGCCCAGGTGGGACCAGAGCGGATTCTTTTTGGAAAAGGCTTCTGGCCTTGTGACTCAGCATTAGAAAAGCTTCCAATGTAACGAAGCAAAAATCTTGGGGTTAAAGAAGTTTGTAGAGTTAGAGAGGGAAATGTGTGGGGTAATGAAGGACTAGGATTATTTAGCTAAAA